CTGTCCCACAAAACATTAAAAATGAAAATTTATGAATCATAAATACCATTTATGTGTTTCTGACATGAAAATCCTGTGAGATCTGGCCTCCCCGGACTCAAACTTCTGGGTTTACTTTCTCCATGGGCTCTCAGTGGACAGCTGGCATGACTCATGCGTTATCTACCTCCACTGAGGGCCCTTGCCTTGGGTGTTCCTCAACCCCCAATGCTCTTCTCCAGTGGCTCTTCCACTGCTTTGAGGACTTCGTCCTGCTTTGTCATGTTATCTAAAACGAGGCCACCTTCACTACCTGTAGCCCCTCTCTGCCCTGGCTCCATTAATAACATCATGCATGTTATTTACATGCATGTTTGCCTTTGCTCTGATACAGGCTTTATGATACAATCTTGCTTTGGTTTATTGCCTGCATCCCTGGCACCCGCAATCATGGCCGGTGATAGGAACTTCCCATGGCTGTTGGGTGAATGAAGAAGGCAGGGATAAGGAACCATATCTTGTATTCTTCCTATCTGGGGAGCAAAGATACATGGAAGATCGTTGATGGAGTTGCTGGTGTGCATGCCCGGAGGACACAAGGACTCCTAAGGCCAGGTCAAGGAAGAGCGGTTTGAAAGTGGTGTGAAGGATATTGTGAGTTTGAGGGACTTGGGGATGTGTCTACTCGGGTACTGGAAATGAAGGGCAGAAGAGAGGTTGCCAGAGGTAGATGTGACTGTCCCCATGGAAGCGTAAAGGAAGAGGAGGTAGGGAGAAGGAAGAGAAATGGGGAAATAGCAAGCCCACCAAGAACCACTCTTGTGTGCACACGTGCCCTCAGAGAAGAGATATTTGTAGGCACATGATGAGAGTGAGAGATTAAACAAGAGGGACATGGAAACCACTGGACTGGCAGCATCAAGGTTCAACTAAGATGGCCCAGCTGGTGAAGGCATCTACTGTCAAACCTGCTGGTTAGAACCCACATGGTACAAGGACAGAAACAACACCTACGATTTGTTCTCTGACCTCCATGTGTCCCATGCAGCAAGCTCCCCACCACACCTGAAAATACTAAAAAAAAAAGAAAGAAAAAGAACAGGGTGTCTGGCCTAAGGTCACAAGAATCTGGGGGTTCCTGGGCCCCCCACTCAGGTGTGACCATTGCTCTCTTCCTGTTGCCAGCAGCAGACATTTCTCAATGATGAGGCTCTCCGCCTCCAAAGCTAATATTTGTCTCCTCTTGATCCAGCATCTAGTGTGTTACTTTTTAACTGGAGCCCAGGGTTCAAAGGCCTGGCTGTTGTTTAAACACTCTACAGTCTGCAAGGATGACATGTCCTCCCTCCTTTCCCAACCTCACTGACAAACCAGCAAGGAATGTCCAAGCAAAGAGAATATGCAGAAAAGGGCAAAGGGCCATGGAGTGACTACAGCCCCGCAGGGGGGTCTGGAGAAGGAAGACCCCACAGCAGGGGCATTTAGAGAGCTAAATGACAGGCACAGCCCCAGCTCAGGCTTTCTGACGTACTTGATAAATCCAAGTTACTAAGATTCGTTATTGACAGAAACTCTTCTACAAATACAACGTGGTGGTGCTCCACCACGCATCCCCCAGAGTGGAAATTCCACTTTCCAGTCTCTAGGCCACTTGGCACTTTGCCCCGTTGCACAAATGGGGTGTGCTCACATGATCCGTAGGAGGGCCTGGCTTCATGCTGGAGGCAAGGGTGACGGGAGGGAGGCCTGTACTCTTGGACAAATGTCTTTTCAAGTTATGTAGACATTTCCTGTTTACAATGAATTTAGTGGCTGAAATAGACCCCCTTGCCCTCAAAACCCTTCATACTTAGTTTTCTGGTTAACTAAATGGTGTAACTTTGTTCTTTTTAATTTTTTTATCTTAAGCTTCATCTTTAGTAGTTAAAAAAACCTACTTCTGTGTCCAGCTAATTGGTCACTTACATCTTAGTATAAATGAGTTTATTGGCATTTCCCATGGGATGTTTGGTGGAGGAGCCGACAGCCGGTAGAGTCCTAGAGGAGCGGTGGCCTCTTACCCAGACACCCTGGATTTCCAGTTCCACTCTGCAAGTTTATTTCCTGATGTGGAAATTGGTGCCAACATGGTAATACCGTATCAGGCTGATAGGGAGATCTGTGAATCCTGAGAGAGTAAACCCAAGACTCCAGAGGCTTGGCGAATGGCTCCAAGGCCACTGTTTCCAGGAGAAACTGTCTCTGCAAGGTTGTCCCCAGACTCCACTGCATCCAGCTACAGCTATGGTCTTGCTCTGGCCAGGGGACCTAGGATTGCTTTCATCCTACTATCTTCCCAGGCTCTGTCATTTCGCAGGCTGAAGGGTACCCAGTCTCAGAAGATTGTGGCGCTGCGGAGGGGGGAGTGCCTGAGTTCCTGACCGAGCATCTGCTTAAACATGCAAAGGATTGAGGGAAAATGGCCTTTGTCAAGCCACTTCGACTTGGGGATTGCTTGCTACAGTGTTAATCTGTCCCAGTGAACTCGTTTCTTCTTACCCAAGGATCTTCCATGGAGGAGGAAAAGTGAACTGTGATCCAGAAACCTGGAGAACAATCCACACAACTCTAGGAGACCTGGGAACTTTCACTGTGAGGTGAGTCGTCTAGATTTTAATTAGAAGGCAAAGATCATCGCAAGGCTTCAAAACCTACAAGGTGACTATATATTCTGAAGGTGGTGACTGACCCATTTCATGTGAAATGGAGATACTATTTGTTTTACCCCTATTCATGATATACTGTGTTGGCTTCCAATCAAACAATTTTTTTTGAAATATCTTGTAGAGACCACACTTGTGTTGAATTTAACATGTAGTTGAGACAACCTTGAACTTTTGGTTCTCCCTGGGATTATAGGCGCCATCATACGGCCCTTGTGCATACCAGGCAAGCACAGTCCCGGCTTACTAAGTTTTATTAGGTTAAGGAATCGTATGTACTAACTAGAAAAAAAGTCACCAGAATAAATTATATGGTTCTACATGAAACCCTAGCTACAATAACGCTAATACGTAACAGAAATTTAAGAAAGACTTTGAGATGTAGGAATGGAGACTGGCTTGGAGGAGGCATGGAGTGTTCTGAAATACAGTCCAAGTCAGGGCTGGAGAAATGGCTCAGTTAATAAAGTGCAAGCAGGAGGAGATGGGTTCCATCCTTAGAAACCATGGCAACAAAGGCGGAAGCAGGCTGATCTCTGGGGATCAACGGCCATCCTCTCTAGATTACTTGGTGAGTTCTAGGTCAGTCTTAAAAAAAAAGAAAAAAGAAAGGGTAGGCAGTGCCTGAGGGATAACACCTGCCTGAGGTCACCCTCTGACCTCCACACACACCCACAATCACGGTGTGTGCATATAAACACACATAAAAGAAATGGCCCAAATTCGACTTTTATCTCGGATTTGGTTGAGGAGCCTGCTGGAGTGTTCCCAGGGGCTGTTCTAGGCAGTCATCCAAGGTACCCATCCCCCCCCCCCCATACCACACGAGTTTCTCTTACTGCATCCGAGTGCTTAGCTTGGTGCTCCCCTTACTCTAATCCCCGACACCCCTGCTGAACTGACTTGTGAGGTGAGCCCTTTCTTCAGAGGACAAAGTTCTACCAGCATCTGAGCACAGAGCCTACCGCACTGCTGAGAACAGCCCCCCAGCTCTCGTGCCGCTCTGCTTGCTCGCTCAACAACTCCTGTCTTCAAGGGCATAGGCCAGCACCTCTGAGGTGGCAAGTGAGAGGTGTTTTCGCCAGGATCTGGGCATCTTACTGGAGTCGGAGGAGGCATTCTCCACCCACCTTCTCAGCAGAACACCCTTCCTGCTCTGAGATCTGCAGCCCGTGGGAAGACAGCCTGAGTCAGCTTGGGCTGTGAAGGAGGAAGGGGGGAGGAGGGAGGTACATCAGCAGCCCAGGGCACAGCTGAAGAAAGGGTGGCAGCTGGGTAGCCATTGCCAAGGTGCCATGACTGAAACAGTGAACCCTCTCTCCCCAGCTCTGGGCCTGAGCAGACTCCAACAGGAAATGAGCCTTCTCCATCTCCACAGGCTCCAGTGTGCTAGGTGAGGAACTAGCACCAGGTCTTAACTCAGGCTTGACCTTTTCCTACCCAGGTCAAATATCAGAGCAGAATCCACAGCCTCCCATCTCTGGAGGCTGTGCTGAGAAACCAAAGAAGTGACGCTTGTTTGAATGTGGCTCCTCGGGCAACCCTGGGAACGCCTGTGCTCACTGCTCATGTCAGGGGCTATAAAATTCTGGAAATGCCAACGTCACTCGGCTCTAACAGCGGGCTAAGGGTCTATCAGCCTGGCAACTACACAGTAGTGGCAATCTGTTCATCCCACCGTTTCTCTGTAAGAACTGACAGTGGCCCTTACCTCCTGTGCTTGTGTCCGCTCCTGAGCCTGGGTGAGGGGACAGGAGTTCTGGAAGCTGGTGAGAACCTGGCAGCAAGTTTAGGAAGCTACAGCAAGGGCTGACAACCCCAAGTCCTGCTTGGATGTCACAGGCCAGCAATCTCTGAGAGGCCGGGGTGAGGACACTGAGAAGGCAGGATGGATGGAAAAGGGCAAGGCTTCCTCCACCCCCAGGAACAGGGAGACCTGGAACGGGAAACCAACACAGGTCTGGATACCCAGGACATCTTTCTGAGACACGCCATGGCTTGGCTGCCAATGTCATTTACTCTCCCGAAGTCTAGTGCACAACAGAAAGCAGCCGTGAACTCAGTCACCTTTCCAGGTATGGAGTAATAGGATCGTGCTTTTTGTATCAAGTTGTCAATTCTTAGGTTTAATAAACCTAAGACAAAGACAAAACCTAGAATATGGATGAGGGCAAATGAACTTACTATGCTTATCCCATCCCGTGTGTTCAGGGAAGACTTCATCCCTGAGGTAGGACTGCGGTCCTTCCAACCTTTGACACGATTAACATGGCAGACTCTCGAAGCAGCTTTAAATCAGACAACCCATAATACTTATGTAGAAAATGTTCCAGCTTTCATAATTCTTTATTAAATATTTGACAAGTGGCGTCACCGCTTTACAACATCTTTCTTCACTTTGTCACAGTTTTTCATTTGCTGTCAGGAAAACAAGCTACAGTATCTCTTTAGCTCTCTCGAGAAGAAAAAGAAGGACTTGACCGTGAAACTTTGCGTGTGTACCAGATTCAAGCTAGGTTAAAGTTCTTCCGGACTGGGAAAGCGAGCATCAGTCACTAGGCTGTCTTAGAAAAAAGATCAAGGTAGTTTGGGTTTGACCATTGTATCAAATAGCACTCGGCTTTGTTAGGGGGTGGGGTTAGAATAAAAAGTTAAGAAACATTGAGAATTCATTTGGAATGCTTGAAACTCTTTTCACCTTCAAAGTCACTTAAAAAAATGTTTCATTTGGTAACAGATCCCGAATTTAGAAATGACAGCAAGCTAATACTTTCCTAGGGTTCTCTGGGACGCCGAGGGTCAGAATTCTCAGGACATGGAGAAAACTGTAGACGGGACTAAGCTCTCATTCATTCCCCCTTTGAATCCAGATTGCTCCTAAGGTGTAAAAATGCTATACAAATATATACAAATATATCTGGACAGCAAACATACACATGTAGGTATGCATGTTACATCTGGGGTAGCAGAAGGAAGAACAGAGTCGCAAGATTCGACATGAAAAAAACCGCGATAACGTAGGTAAAAACCAGTCTGAGTACGAGGTGCAGACGGGCTTACACAAGAACAGACATTTGTCAGCACAGGCTATGGTCACAGGAAAGGCTTTCAATACACCGAGACCCAGCGGAGGGACGGCAGGACATGAGAGGTCACACACCAGCAGATGCCCTTAGAGTTCCACCGCTGCGCCTTACAAATACGAAACCAGGAAAGAGACAGGCTGCTTCAGACACGCGCTTGGCGCGTTAACCTTCCAAATAAAAGAGAGATGTGGAGAGAGAAGTTTTCTTGGAAGATTTCATACCAAACGGAAAGCTACCCCTTTCCTAGAGAACCCTAGGCAGGCTCACGTCCTAACGCGACAGCTTTTTCTCTGACAAACTCTGGGATGGAGTGCATACACAGACGCATATACACTGTTCATTAAGGCTTATAGAAATTAAAAAAGTGGTTCAATGTATATCACATTTCTACCCGGTTTTAAAATCTAAGATACAAAGTGGAATTTATAAGTTTGTTTGTTTGTTTTTTTTTAACGTATCCTAGTCCTGAAATTGGCAGTTTTGACATGAGACTTAGGATATACCCCAATACATGAATGAGACAGAGGTAGCATGTGGTCTTCTGGGAGCCAGACAGGGAAGCAGGGCAGGCAGTGACCCTGCACGGCAAGACCCCTACTGGCCAGGAAGCGAATGACAACGGTTAGCATCCCCCCTTCCATTACTGAGATAGTTGAGAGCCACAGACAAGAGCAAGTTTAGCAGGGATGGGCTGGGCAGCTGTTGAGACCAGACTTTCTTTGTAGACTTTCATATTTCAGAGGTGAGATGAGAGACTATCAGGAAAATAGAGAACACATTAGAGGCTACTGCACATGAGCCTGACTCTCAGAACAGACTGGAATCTGGCAAGACCTAGAGCCACAGGTCATGCGAGATGCAGAAGCGTTAAATTATTTTGCGGTCCACTTCCACAAGTCTGCCGCTGAGCCTTATGGGGAAAAAAGATGCGTATCAAGTCACTTGATAACATTTTTAATCTGAACATCAGGATTCTCTGCTGTCTCCTGCTTCAGGTCCTTGGAAACAGAATTCTTTATCTTATCCACCCCCTTCCTGCCCCCAGCAATGGCAATCAAATCTACGGCTAGGTACACGCTAGGCAAACACTCTGCTACTAAGCTACATCAGCCCTGGAAACAAAAACAAATACAGATCTCTGGTTCTTGTGACCCGCTAGAGGACTGGTCATAGAAGGTAGAGATCAGTGTTTTAGAGAGACAAGAAAGAACACCTAGAATAGACCAATACCTACGGCCACCGGCTCTGGAGTCAGTAGGCTGATCCAGGCTTACCGTGGACTAAAAGGGGCAGGGAGGGAAACACAAGACAGCCGCAGGATGCTCAAAGTCATTCCACAGGGAAGAGTCCAAACCCACTCTGCAGCCTCAAGATAAGTGATCACAACTACTGTTTGTTGTAGCTGGCTGCAGAGGTCAGGCCCGGAGAATGAGCTGCCTCCTGGCCCTCAGGACAGCATGCTCTCCACGGCCATTTACAACTATCGTACAAAGATGGCCTGGCACGGGCATCACCATCTGGAGACATCGGGAGCTGCAGGCAACAAGTGAAACCTCACAAACCGTATTACAGTGAACGGTAATTTTACTTTCTAACTACCCAGTAACAGCTGCTAAAACCTGAAGCCTGGACCAATGAACTGAGGCATTATTCACGATGGCCCGCCTTTCAAGTACTCTCAGGAGTGTATTTCGATAGGTCTTTCCCGCTCTTGGCTTAGTAATGACCCTCCCCTCCCTATACTTTTAATTAAAAAAGAAATCACATATGGAATAGATCAAAGGACAGCTTGCAGGAGTCACTTCTCTCCTCCCATCAGGTGGGGCTCAGGGACTGAACTCTAGCTGTCAGCCTTGGTGACAAACACCCCGATGCACTGAGCCATCTCGACAGCCCTTTTGGCGTTTATTTAAAATGCAGAATGACTATGTTGTATCTGGTGAATGACGTGGCTTGATCTAGAGCCTACAGAATTCTAGAACCCCAGTTCTTAGAGCAGATTTTGGTTTCTTCTTCAATCAAAATACACTGCTCAGCTCGGGCTTTGGCACTCTTTGTAACAGAGAGACAGTTCTGGACGTGGAAGGTTGTATAACAACAACAACAACAATAACAACAACAACAGACCCCACCCCCAATATCTGGTAACTACAGGAGATATCTCACCAAAAACCAAGAATAGAGTGTTAATTGTTTTGTAATTACTCCATAGCACGTGGGAAGAAGCCGAAGCTGTTTGGCAGGACGCTCCGCTCCGGGGTTTCACCCACCAAGAATGTCCGTGGCTTCTTCATGGCACCCAGGGCTGTGTAAACACGAGCAGTTTCTTATACCGAAGGTTCTTCTTACATAGCAGAGACCGCAGTCTTTTTGTCAATATTCACAAGTGGCAAGAGATCAAAATACCCCGTATTCCTTCGCTTCCGGGACAGGGTCTAGGACAACACAAGTTCAAGGGACAGCAGAGGTGCTGAACTCCCATGCTACCTCAGGCATCTTCTCAGAATGCAACAGAATTCTGCAACAGAGACTTACACACTGCAGACACCCACGTTTCTCCACCATTGCCAACCAGGCCGCTCGAGCTCAGTAGACCCCACTGGGTCTTGTAGCTCACGTTTAAACTAGCACACAATACACGTGACCCGGGTGGGGAGGGGGGCAGTACGCAGTATCGCAGCATGCAAAATAGGTCATTATGTCACACAACTTGCTAAGGGTAGAGTAGGCAAAATCCTTGCTGTTGAGTAGAAAGTACAAAGCAGTCGGAGAAGACGGGTGTCGAGAGGCTCAGCACTGTATCTGGGTTCACGAGCAGTTAATTCACAATTGATAGATACTGCACCAGTCAGATGTGTGCAGGGAGGAAGAACAATCACATGTAATGATTATGAGGAAAAAAATGAAAAAAAAAAAGAGCAAACAGATATGACCCGCATAAAGTGCCTTTGGAATTGCCGCAGTTACAGCAAGAATGGGTTATTAGCTACTGTTTTAGCCAACGGAGACAGAAGACCACTGACTCTGGCTTCCTCAGTTTTGAATCGAGCAATGCCATTGGAAATGTCTTTCCAAACACCAAGAAGAAAATAGCGTTAAGAAGAGGCTGTTCGGCAACAGGAGAGGTTAAGGGTTTCTGATGCAAAATGACAGTCCAACCCTGTCTTGAGTGTGAGATGGCACATGTCAATACTTCTAAGGAACAATGGTGTCATTCCTTTCAAGTTAACACAAAGATATCATGCTATGTTACAGTCCTTCCAGCCTGTACCTAGTATTTAAGTTTGTACAAAAGAGAGGGTAATATCCAGTCTATTTTCATTCTAAGCATGGAAAAAAATTGTTATTCTTAATGCTCTATTTGAAATTCTTTCCACGTGTTGGTCTGTAGAATGCTTTTGGAGAAAAATTAGTCTTCCAATTCTAATAAAGTAGAGGGTGGGAGTGTCAAAGTTCTTCAAAAATAAAAATGTCACTGACATTAAGCTTGATATGAAATTCAAATACAAAAAAATATGCTCACTTTTCCAAGTACATGAGACATCTTTAATTGTAATGAAATAAAATCTGAAAATCAGTCTAAATCATTTTTAAAAAGTAAACATGAGTTGTAATACTATACCTGTAGTGTGATTAATTCCATTCATTGTCATTAGAAAGTATGCAAAATATTTATTAAGGGCTTTGCCTGCAGAGGCACAACATAAATAGAACAAGTCCTCCTGAAATGTAATCAGAGTACACGCTAACCAGTTGAGAATTGGTGGTGAAGGGGCGGCACTCGAGCCGGGACTGGGTTCCCTGGCGGAACGTGGGCGTGGCCCGGACAAGCTGGGCTCCAGAGCCAGGTCAGGCAACTGCTTCTGCCACCGGCTCTGCAAAAGTCTGCTAGGCAAATGCAAAAGTGCACGCAGAACTTGCTGGAAGGGCAGTGCCCCCGACGCAGGAGGCCTTAATCCACCCCTTCAAAGCCTTGGGCGTTCTCCACGGCCATGAGAAGTTTCTCCCGCAAATCTTCAAAGGTTTCGTATGGAGGTAAATCAAGGCGATTAAAGCTGCCAAAGGAATGGAAGATGGGAGTGAGTGGCCGCCATTTTTCTTGTCATAGTAGCATGCTCTTGTTTTGGCTAATGGGTATTGGCTGTTTGAGCAAGGGAATTATTAAAAAGAAAAAAGTCACACTTTTATTACCCAAAGCCAAATTCTAGTTAGGACAGTGTCCATGCCAAACAGGTTATACAATCAATGGGGAAAAGAAGACAACCTTTCTACTGTGCATGATTCCTCTGCTGCCTGGAGGGAGACACAAAGCACCAACATCCACAGAGAGACTAAAAATGTGGGCTGCCGAGATGGCTCAGTAAGTCCAGGGGCTTGCAGACAAGCCTGGTGACTTGAGTTCAATGTCCAGACACCACATAAAGGTAGACGGAGAGAATCAGAGTAGTCTCTAATCACACTGGTACCATATGTACCCCACCCTACACACACACACACACTGCATGTTTTAATAATAATAAAAAAAAACCCTTTTTTAAAAGAAGAGAAAACCACGAAGTATGAGGCCTGTACAATTCAGGAATGTTGGATGGACTGTTTCTTACACTATTACTGATCCATCATGCCAGAGCCAAGGGCTCTTCTGTAGGTGTGAAACAGGTTAAGGCTGTGTGTTCTGCACATGCAGATCCCTAAACAATGAGGTCCCATTCCTAGGAACGGTCCAGACCCCAGGGCAGAGCTCAGAAAGTTTGAGTTTCAGAAAGTTGAGCCCCTCTGCTATCCAGTTGGCCACCAGCGACGTTCAGAGAGAGCCAACTCAGAAGACTTCAGCTGGGGTGGGGCTGGCACAGCTCACCCTTCAAGACTGAAGTGTTTAGATACAGATGGATGACCTCTGCAAGAAGTCAAGCCCACTTGTTTTTGGGTCAAGCTCAAATCCTGTCCCTGCTGTCTTTGTAACTTTGGCTAAGTCATCTCACCTCTATGAACCTGTCTGCTCAGATGTAAAAAGGAGAAACTATCCTAACAGGAGTATGGGAGGTCAAATCAGAAGATACGCAGAAGGGCTGGGAGCCCAAGCTCAAAAGATGGCGGCTAGGGCAACTCATCCAGAGTTTCCTGAGTATCCACTCTGTCTTACCCAGTTCAAGAGCATTTGAAAGGGCTGTGAGCCCTGTAAAGAGGCTGTCTGAACTCTGCAGCAGAGGCCTGCTCTGGATGGCCAATTTCAGCCTCAAATCAGCATGCATGTCAGCAAGGACCACACAGGCAGTGACCATGCTGTTCCATGCAGTCACAAATATCCTTCCGGTGAGGGAAGGGCATCTACCCCACAGCAGCCAGCTCCTCCACTGCCAGTCTTCACAAAGGTTCTTACGGGCATTGTGGGTGAGAGAGGGCGTTCACATCAGCTCAGGACAGCCAACACAGGCTTTGGACCCTCCCTGTGCTGTGAAAGGCAGGACCATACTCCCCTACTTCAGCCAGAGGAGAAGCCTAGGCAGAAACCTGGGACCCCAGCTAAGTTTGGATCGAAAGGAACTTGCTGATGTTGCTTTAAAACCCACTGGGCCATGTCTATGTCTGTGCTGGGTGTCGTGTGACTCCTCTGAGCTAATTCCCGAGGCGTCTTCGTCCCTCTCCAGCCAGAGAACACCTTCTGGTGACGTCATAGCCCATAGGTCACTATGGGTCACTCATGTACAGACTGAATAGAGGCCTTTGAAATTGGGGCTGCTATGGGGGAAATCTTGTCCTTAGTTTTATATTTTTAAACATTTATCGTGTGCATGTGTGTATACTCTAACATGCATGTGGAGGTAAGAACACGATCCTCTGGAGTTGATTTTTCTCCACGAGGGTCCCAGTGATCCAACTGAGGCCGTCAGGCTTAGATTCCTTTGTTTATGCGCCTGAGTGTTTTGCCTCCACGGATGTGTGCCACGCGTGTGCCTAGTTCCTATGAAAATCCAGTCTCCCGGAACTGGAGTTACAGACGGCTGTGAGCCACCATGTCGGGACTGGGAATCAAACCTGAGTCCTCCGCAAAGAGCAACAAGTACCCTTGGCCACTGAGCTCTCCCTCCGGGCCCCAAGGAGAAGGTGTTGCTTACCATGTGTGAGCTCTGGGTAGTTTTTCAGGACTGCCCCATTGCTCTATTGTAAACAGCTGAGGACCATTGGAACCTGGGCAAACCAAGAACGAGACACATCAACAGGGCTTGAAGTAGGAGAACCAAGTTCTGGGAGTAGGGGAGGTCCTTAGTGGAAAGGGGAGGGGTGAGCATCAGGGTGGGGCCTCACTCCCCAGGTCTGTACTGCTCCGTGCTTGGCCTATATCCTCTGCAGCACAGAACTGGACCAGGGGTGGCAGTATTGGCACAGGCGCAGGAGCTGTGGCCTCTACTTCAGGGGAAAGTAATGCGCCATGAGCCTTGATGGACAGAATAGAAAGAGGCCTCTCGACTGGGGGCTGGGTCCTTCATCAGGCCAGTTTCAATCATGTGGGTGATTCTGAAAATCTGGTTTTAAAAGCTGAACAAAAAACTTGAACTATGAGGAAAAAAAAGAAAAAGAGAAATGAAGAAAAGAGACACCTTCAGGCTCTCTGTACAAACACCGCCTCACCCCTTGGTCCTGCATCTCCATGGGTCTCTATGTTACTGACACAGTTATAGTGGTCTGGAAAGGGGCCAAGGTGGCAGAATACTGCCTGTGTGGGTCCTCACAGGAGGACAGAGGAGTCTGGGACACGCCACACTCACCATAAAGTTCGGCAAATCCATTCATGGGTACTCGGGAGGTGCCTGTGACAAACTGTAGTAGCCGGATCCGCTTCTCAGCATCCATCAGGAGCACAGCCTGCCAGAGGCAGAAGGTCATGACGTCACCATGCGGCACACAGCACACACTGTCATGACGTCACTGTGCACCATGCACTGCCATGATGCAGGCAGATGACTAACTTCTCATTTGCACTGCCACAGAACCACCTCTACTGCCGACTCTGCAAAACGGCACCGCTGCCTCCCTTTTGATGGTTGCTACAACCCAGCCTCTCTAATCTTAGAGCATCACCGGGTCTCTTTTGTTCTTCTGCCAAAATAAATGGTATAAAAAGAAAACTCTTTGATGGCCTCAAGCTCAGGTGTCTCCTTGAAGCCATTTCTAGCCAGGCAGTGTTCCGGAAGTGTCTAAAACAAGGGGAAGCCAGGTGATGTGGCCACAGAAAGTTCCCAAATGACACCTGATAAACGGAAGGAAACCCAAGGCAAAAATGGGCCTCGGAACCAGTCTGTGTGCCTCCCAGATCCTAACTGCTGCAGAAACCAAACCAGCCTTCCTGGACATGCGATTTGATCTTCTATAATATAATCCAAAATCAAAGCCAAGTTCTAGACTTTGAAAATCCTGATGTTCTCTGTACTTTTACTGGTACTTGAAATATTAATAACAGATTCAGAAGTTAAAACTCATTGGTTGATTTCTTCTCATTTTAAAAAAAAGTATCTGCCAGTTTTAGTGGCATACATCTTTAATTCCAGCACTTTGGAGGCAGAGGCAGGTGAATCTGTTTTGAGGCAGCCAGGACTACAGTTCAGGCTATCCCAGAACAGGCTGCACACCCCAGGCCAGCTTCATGCTTCCAATTCTCCTGTCTCAGCCTTCCCAATACTAGGTTTAGCAGTGAGACCTGGGAGTGTAGATATATCCCACCATGCAGGGCTGATTCCCTTTTTTTTTTGTTTATGAATAATCTTTTAATTTTTTTTCATGTTTAGTTTACTGTCTTTGCCAAGCCTTTCCGGAGCCCAACAGAACACAAACATTGGCCCTCAAGACAGTAAATCAGATTTAACTTGCATCTTGGGTTGTAAGATATAACAATCAAAATAGTTACTGGAATAAAAAAAATGTTGAAGCCAAATGGTGGTGGTGCATGCCTTTAATCCCAGCACTTGGGAAGCAGAGGCAGGCAGATCAATTTCTGCAAGTCAAAGGCCAGCCTGGTTCACAGAGCAATTTCTAGGACAGCCAGAGGAGCACAGAGTAAGACTGTCTTGAAAAACCAAAAAAAAAAAAAAAATTGAGAAAACTATTTCTACACATGATGAGCCAGCTTGAAGGCATGACTACTCCCAAAGATACTCCCGTTCTGATTTCCCCCAAGAAGCCCGACACAGCGCTTAGGACTTCTGCCCTAATTTGAAGGAGAAGCCCGAAGCAGAGGTGGGGCCGAGAGAGCTGTAGTTACTTACCTTCCAGAACCACTGGATGACAGGATGATTGGGGCAGTAGCCATTCTTGTAAATAGAATGCTGTCTCCAGTCATTCACGTCAACGTCACCCAGGCCGCACATCAGCAACTAGGAAGGAGATTTACCAGATGTAAGTGAGTGGAGAACTCTTTCTTCTCTGTGCTGGCGTTTGTCACCGGACAAGCAGGTAAGCCAGCAGTTCAAGAGAGTCAGAGAGAGAGAGAGAGAGAGAGAGAGAGAGAGAGAGAGAGAGAGAGACAGAGAGAGAGAGAGAGAAAGAGAGAGACAGAGAGAGAGAGCGCTCAACTGACTTGCATCTTGCATGCAAGGCCATGATATTTTATACTGAAACACACGGGTCATTTTTCCAGCCTGCATGCTTTAGGCACAGTACTGTAGAGTTCCTGTACTGCATTAGCACATGTACAGGGTCTGGCTGCTACTTGTACAGATATTTGAATTGGTCCCCATGACAGCAAGAACTCATTTCCCCCAGATGGGTCAATTCAGGTGACAACAAATGACCTCATCCTTCCAGCATCCTGTGGGCACCCAGGCAGGAAGCGGTCCCCTGCCAGTGCTTAGTCTACAGTCTGTTCTTACAATAGGAGTTTCCAATGAATATGATATTCCCAAGGAAGAACTAAAATACAACAGGAAGAAAAATCATTTCTAAAGCCTGAAAACTGATTCCTAGGCCTCCCTGGGACCAGCCTGGATGAGTCATCTTGGATGCTGTTCACGTCTCACAGCCTCTACAGACCTGTAGCGCCTGAGATACAGAATTTCTATGACACCCGTCTGGAGACTTCTGCTTTAAATTCTCTGGGACATGCTCTGCTGGACATGGGCTTGGAGAGAAGCGCTGTGGACAGATGCAGCCTCTGTCCTTCTGGGCCTCGACACAACCCAAGGTGAGATGTGAATTCAGTTTTCAAGTTGCTCTCTCCCTCATCTACACCAAAGCTGAGAAGCTGATGGACAATCAGACACTTCCTGCCACTACCTGGTGGCCTCCCGATGGCCAAACACAAGCCACTTCAAGTACAAGGTCACGTCTCCTTTACAGACTCTGGAGAAGAGATACAGCTCTAGTGTGACCAAGTCCTTCACCCACCTGCCAAGGTGAAGACTGGGAGGCAACAAAGGGAACTGGGTGGGCCTGGTTATGCAAGTAGATCACTGTCCTAGAGGGCTGCAGGGAGCCAGGCTCCTCCAGTGAGATCACATTCTTCTTTGCACTGGGCTGTGTATCCAGCACCACTAGAAACTGCCCCGGCACAGGCAACAAATCTATTTGGCTGCTATGAATGCTAGCCTTCCCCGATTAGAAGACTGACCTCCTAACAGAGCATTCAATATGCCATGTGTCAGAGAATGCAAAACCATCATTTGTGAAATAAGGAGCTACTTAAGATCATCTACTTTATATAAAATATTATATTGATAACACAAACCTCCAGCTCATTTTCATCAAAAATTTTAATCAAATCGATTGGAAGAAGTTCTGTAAATCCCTGAAAGGAAAAGATAAAAACATCGTAAGCAGTTTTTTTTTTTTTCTCTCTGAAAAAGGACATTTTCATGGGTGGAATACGCTTGTGGTCAGCCAGAGAAGGGTCGCTCTTTACTGCTGGCTCACACAGCAGTGATACTGTCCGGTGACCACAATCCCAATAAAAGCACATGCACAGGAGTCTGAAACATACACAGTCTAGAGGCTTCCCGTGCTTGCACACTTTTTGAAACCCTGTGATACTAGCGATACTGGAGGCAGGTGGATTGCAAAAGTAAGTTATGACACACATTTGTGAGTCAGTGTGCCCTAAAATGCATAGACCATAAACGTGTAAGAGACACATTTAAAAATAGCCAAAGGCATGGGTGGAGGAGAGAAGCAAGCAGCATGAGCTGGCACTGAGAACTGACAGAATAGCAAGCCAGACTCTGTCCTGGGCTGTCATTAATTAGGGGGTGACCCAGGAAGAGATTCTAGACGCTGTGGGTTCTGAATGTCGGGCAGGGCTGGGAATCTGTTTCCCAGGACTTTCCTTACAGTGCAGACAGTGCCATAGCCAATTCACCCTCGTATCTTACATCCCCCAGGCCCTGGCACATGTGCACTTCCTGCTCAGGGGAGGACTGTCTTCACGATGTGCAGGCCACTGAGAGGATTGCTCCATGAGAGTGGGCCCTAGAAACGACCACCATGGGATTTGGGTTTTTCCCCTCAAAATTGATCTATCTATTGTGTGTGCATGCATGTGTGCACTGGGGGTTTGAACTCAGGTGGCCAGATTTCAAGGCAACAAATGCCTTTACTTGCTGAGTCATCCTACTTGCCCTTCTTGTTGTTTTTAAATAACTAATATTATTAAAAAGAAATTTCACTTTTGCTAACACGAACCACTTTTTATGGCAAAAATACAAACATAAAAACAAAACCCCACTACCTGAAGGAGTTGGGGAAAGTACCCTGTAGTAGACTACTCATGGAGGAGGTAGTGACTTCATTCCATCACAGGGACAAAGCTGGTATTTGGATGCAATGTAAAAACTCCAGAGAGAATCTGGTAAGTTTAGTGTCACAAAGGGTAGGGCTCTGCAGGGAAAGTCAGTGTGCCTGGGTTGGGAAAGGCCTGAAGGAGAGGAGACTATTTTCAGAAGAACTGCAGCAGGCAGCTCCTCTGAGTACTGCTAGAACTTCAAGGTAGACAGAGACAACCAACTCATCCTCAGGTGTGTGCACACATACAAATAAATAAATTCCAAACCAACAAACGAGTATAGGTGGAAGCCAGGTGGTATAATCCTAGCAGCGAGGAGGTTGAGGCAGGATTGCCATCAGCTCCAGGACAGCACGTGCCATAGAGACATTGTCTCAAACAAGCAAGCAACAATGCACTCAGAACATTAAAAAGGGAGAAAGGCAAAGCAAGAGAATGCTTTAAAAAAAAAAGACGGCAGAGCATCATGGAAGATTCCCACCTTGGGGAACGGCCAGCAGGGTGAGTCACCTGAGCTGGCCTTCTGCACTCTGTCCCCACCCTGACCCCAGTAGCCGTGCTTACCTCCAAGAAGGCATTCATTTGCTTCTGGACCCTGTTCACGAATCTCCACTGGATGACTAAGCTGCAAGGAAAAGAGGAACATACTTAGCCCTCTCTGCAACAAACTGGCACCAACGTGGTTGACTAAAATCCACTTAAAACCTGAGAGGGCTTGCAGAGGAATTCTAGACACTAAAAAACAAAGTTTAGCCGCATTTTTTTTTCCCAAATGGGCTTTGCATGCAGGTGGCATGCCGCAGCTCCTTTAAGAGAGGTTTTCCTGACTCAGCAGTAGCAGGAAGAAAGCCACAGCCATTTTAAAATGCCAGATTTCTGGGTCATGCTGCCAGTGTGACCTTTGGCTCTTTCAGGAGACCAAGCATAGGCATTGAAAGGAGGCAGAGTCAGGGAGAAGCCACGGAGCTGTTGCCGGAGACAGACATGCTGAAACTTTGCTGGTAGGCCATGACCTCATGGTGATGCACAGATTAATGGAGATGGGTTAAATTAAGATGTAAGAGTTAGCAAATAAGAAGCTAGAGCTAACGGGCCAAGCAGCCACCTCCAACACCTCTGCCACCCTACAGTCTCTGCTTTCTTTATACTTGGGCCTGCTGCTCCTTAGGCGGGGTAAACAGAGAGTCCTGAATAGAGGGGAAAGTGGAGTGGCGCTTGCTTTGGAACATGTGCTGAGAATCCCTGCATTCCTTTAAGAGCCACCGGAACATTTGTGAGAAATGTAGGCTCTCTCTGAGGCTGTCAAGAGCATAAGTGGTCTGCCAGACTGCATCAAGCCCCGGTGGATCCAAGTGCTCCACAAATGTGACTTGACAAAGAAGGACGAAAAGGTGGGCTGGAAAGATGGCTCAGCACTTAAGAGCACCGGCTGCTCTTCCGGAGACCTGGGTTTGATTTCCAGCACCCACATGGCAGTTCACATGTGGGTAACTATAAATTTAATCCCAGGGGATCTGACAACCTCCTCTTCTCTCCAAGGACACCACCCACACATTATGGTACACAGACATACATTCAAAACACTCATACACATAAAAATAAATTAAAACATTAAACATCTGCTAATAAAGTCATAGGATATGATTAGACATATCTACCCATTCACACGTATGCTTAAATATGAACATGTGTTAAGAATAGTTTATAATACCATATATTATACAATAATACCTAAAAATATTTTTTTTGAGACAGGGTCCGCCTCCCCAGTGCTGAGATTAAAGGTGTGTGCTATATGGCCCACACTAATACTTTTAATACTAAGTTTAGAGATGCATGGTTGGATCTGTGAGTCACTGAAACTGTCCCTGAGACGGTGTTCAGTGTGAGCAATGTGGACTCTGAACTCATCTTCCAGGTGGCACCATGACAACAGCCTGAGCGCAGCATCCTGCAGTGCACACAGCAGTCAGCTGTGGGTACCACAGGGCTAGGCTGTGACCCACTGCCCAGCATCAATCATTCTTCCAGTGCCAAGGGCACTGCAGGGGCCAGTGAGCAGTGGGATATTTCAATCCTCTGTAGCTGAGACCCTGCCTGACCCTGGTCCACATGACCTATGTCTACAGCCTTAGGCCTCAGCCAACATGGGATAAAATTTTTTTTTAAAAAAACCACTTAACGTCAGGACTTTACAAAGAGGGTCTCCCAGGGGGGGCATCTGATAAAGCTGGCCATGGTAGAACAAGCCTACCAATTATTGTTCATGGGCACACACCACAGTAGCTTACTTTTGGCTTATTTATTAAGTGCCATGCACTTTTATTTGAAAGTGACAGAACCCAAACCAAACCAACAAAAAACTTCCCTACATGTGCTAGAGGCTTCATCAATGTCTTCCAGGTAAAGCCTGCGAGGCTCTCCCTTGCCTCCTGTTTAGACAGCAGGTTTTCTTTACATTGCACTAAAATAAAAGACCCCAGCCCGTCCTCTGGATCCAAGCCCACTGGCCTACTTGAAATGAGTCTAGGGGAGGACGTCCAGCTTGTTGGAAGGGAGCTCAGACAGCCAATGAGCTCAGCGTGGGCCAGACTCACGGACATATAGAAACCAGGACCTGTGAACCAAACACCTGCATTTCCCTCACTTGGGCCCAAGCCTAGGCTAGAGCTCATCTTGCAAGAGCCCAGAATCGTGTGTGATTCACGTTGCTACACTGAAGAGGAAGACGTAGTGCGCTCTCCTGAGAGTTCCTCCTGTCTGCTAGGGATGTCTAGTGCTACCCAGAGGCTAAACTTCCGAAGGACTCAATGATCTGTTCCACAAAATGAGGCTGAGATTGGGCTGTCAGATAGCAACTATCAGAACAATGCACCATGTTTGCAATATTTCCCTCAACTTCCAGTATGGACAAGTCAGGAGAAAGTTTTTTTTTGTTTGTTTGTTATAATTATTATTTTTTTTTTTGGCAATCCCCAATTCTTCCCCATCAGGGTCTAACATCCCCATGGCTGCGAATCTGAATTTCCGATGAGCTATCCATCTTCAAGGAGCGCTTGCCACTTTAATGTGCACCCTCTCTTTCCACGGCAACCCTCTATAGGTAGTTCACTGAAACTGCAAGAGAACGTAAACATCCCTCCTGCATTCAACTGCCTCATAGGCCAGGCAAAAAGAAAATTGCTATTATTTAAACTGAGAAGCCAGGCATGGTGGTGCCTGCTTTTAATCCCAACACTTGGGGAGGCAGAGGCAGGTGGATCTCTGTGAATTCAAGGCCAGCCTTGCCAATAGAGCAAATTCCAGGATAGTCACACATCACAACAGAGAGACACCGTCTCAAAAACAAAAACAAAACAAAAACTGACAACAAGTTCCTATTTGTAGTATGCATGAGCAGTTCAGGGAAAGGACAACAACCAAATAAACCATTTGATTTCTTAAAAGTAAACGATACAGGGGCTGGGAAGATGGCTCAGTTGTTTAAATGCTTCCTGTGCAAACTTTAGGACCCGACTTCTGGTCCCCAGCACCCATGTAAAACAAACAAACAAAGCCAGGCATAGTGGTGTGTCCTTCTGCAGGGAGGTGGAGACAGCATGCCCATGGAGCACAGAGGCAAGGCTGCCCAGCTGAACCAATGAGCTCCAGGTTCACTGACTGACCCCATTTGAGGAAGATATGACACTGACCTCACACCCCATGCATGCACACCTGCGCACGAGCACACACACACACACACACACACACACACACGTACACAAAGATAATGTAATAAATATGTGCATACGTACTCAATATATTCTCTTTTGTTTTCATTCGTCACCATTATTTCTGACCCATTGGGCTTCAGATCCACTTGATAGGTCTGTGATTACAAAGGAAAAAACAACCATCAAAGACATTAAGTTATTTAACATATTATTGAGTAACATCTTACTATAAAAGGAAGAGAGGCAAAGTTTGTTTAAAACTATTTCCCAGCAATGGGCTCTCTGTATAGGAGGGTGTCAAATGAACCTTTTAAACTGTTCCAAGACGCTACGCATGTAAAGATGTTATCATTAAAGGAAAATGAGTTCATGGATACTTATGGGTTTAATTATCTTTATACATTACCAACAACAGAGAGTGACATTTTCACACGCTATTCATTTATCAAGAAATTAACTATGTTCGAGGAGAAGAAAACAGAGGCTGGAGAACATGCATCAGGCTCACAAACGCCAATCAACCATCAAGCCCATAGAGGGGAACTCCAGCATTCCGCCTGTAACCAGAAATCATGCTGCATAAAGAACACAAAATGGAACTTCTTGCAAGAGGCAAAACACGTGGACTTGAAAAACAAAACAAAACTCAACTAATCAAACAACATCATCACCAACAAAAACCAAGTAGGTGGGTAGGTAGGGAGGAAGAAAGGAAGGAAAGAAGGAAGGAAGGAAGGAAGAAGGAAGGAAGGAAGGAAGGAAGAAGGAAGGAAGGGAGGAAGGAAGGAAAAACACGCACTCGCTTAAAAAGCCAGAAGAGTTTATATATTGCTTTTTATAGGAGGGCAGAGGAAAGCTCTGGGATCTATGTCTGTTTTCTCCTTTTGGCAACAGCTTCTCTCTTAGAAGTGATATGTATGATGTGTATAGTATGTATAGTATTCCAGGGTTGTCATATATACACCAGGAATGTCAGTTTATAAAGGAAACATCAAAATAGACTACGCAACTACCAAAAAGGGCAAAAATACACATCTAAAAGATGGTATTTATTGTAGTCATTAAAATAGCATAGGATATTTATTTACTGACACACGAAGGCATTTGTAGTCTATCTAATTCAGCTTCTGTAAACAAGCACAAGCAGACTTGTATCTGTGTGCTTGCATAGAGTAATTCAGGAAAACATAAGTAAAAATTTCATCATGACTTTTCTTGAGCTGGTCTTCTTACATTTTTGTGTAGTTTTATTTTATATACTGGCTTTATTTTTACTATGAATCAACTAAATTGGTATAATTATTTGAAAGAAAGAGACTGGACTATTCATGTTTAAAAATGAAGCCATGACAATAAAGTGGGGCACAGGTGATTCTGCCAACCGGGTCCTCTCTGTCAGGTGGCAGAGAAAGGTATTTCATTGTCCCCTCCTTCAGCCTCCAGATCCCAGCGGCAGCTTCTTAGATAGTGGGGGCATTGACACCCCACTTCATCTTTCACTTGTGCTATTAGCTGCCAGGACGAGGATTAAAACACTTCCAGGGTCCCGTTACAACGTGGGAGCCACAATGTTGGTGCCATTGCTACTCTTTGAATTTCTCAGCGGAAGGAGTGTCCCCAGCATGCTGCAGCTGTATTATGTGGATGTATTTCCTGGACGGCCCCATACTTCCGCCTCTCTCCTATTTGTATTCCCTCCACCCTTCAAACACCACTGCACTGTATGGCAGCCCCAAACAGCGTAGGCGCACAGGCAACTGGGCACCGAGGAAGCGGAGTGGAAGGCAGATGAAGGCTCTTCCAGATCAGACAAGTTCCCGCTAATAAAGTGACAGTCAGTGTGGCTGTTTAGCGGTCTAGCCATGCTGGGCTACAGCCCACAGCAAAAGAAGCACATGGAAGGGCTACAGGAGCTGGACCCACATACCTGTCCGAAATTCTCTTCATCTATGCAGAACATGAGGTCAAGTTCCGTGGGGTCATTTTCTAAGATCCATTTCAGGGAGTTGTAATACTCGCTGTCCTATAGGAATGACAGAGAGAGGAAAAGTGAGCATATGTTTTCAGAACACAAACCTGTCCCACTCTTACTGACTAACCCAACCCATTCTAATGTAATTCCATGCATCTGGCCCAAGGGTGACACTCTTCACCACAGTGGCAAGGGGCCTGCTCTACCAAAACCACCTCTCATTTCTTTACTTAACGATTTACTTCGTGTGCTCAGGTGCCTGTGGAGGCCAGGAGAGGGCGTCGGAGCCTCTGGACGGATCTGGAGTTACAGGCAGTTAGCTGTGAGCCACGCTAGAAATCCATCCTCCACGAGAGCAGCACACGCTCTGAACCACCGAGCCATTGCTCTAGCCTCATCTCCCCACTCATTTAAAACACAAGACCTCTGGACAGTGACAGTATGTGTGACTTCCTCCTGTTCTCTATGGCTCAGGCCACCTGATTGGGCGGGCAGTAAGTAGCGAGACCATTCAGAGGCCACCCCTTCCCCATCATGTTTGGTAGCCCCACAGTGGTCTCCAACATCTCTTCCTGACTCAGCCCATTTGTGGCTACCCCACACCTGGATCAGGTCCACAGAATTGAATACAGTGATCTGTCTTCTAAGAGTGAGGCCATCAGAGACCAGGCAGGATGGTGCTCTAACTAAACACCACATAGGGTATGTTCTGTGCTTTCCTGTTTTCTCGGTGTTCTCTGATCGTTAATTTAAGCCCAAATCAGGGCTGCGCTTCAGAAAATAGGAGCTGTGAGACCATCAGGTCCCCTCTGCGCATGCCCAGAGTCTCTCGCTGAGAACGAGCTAACAGGCTCAAAAGAGACCAAAAATAACGTGCACCACATTTAAAACAGTCATGCCGGGGCTGTAGGGATGGCTCAGCAGTTAAGAGTGCGTACTGCTCTGGTGGAAGATATGAGTTTGTTCCCACGTAACCTCTGCACAGCTCACAACCACCTGTAACTCCAGCTCAAGGCAAACCTGATGCCTCTGACCTCTACGGGCACCAGCATTCATCTGCATGTGCGACTCCCCCAATATGCACAATTAAAGATAAAATATTTACTCCAGACCCCCAAATACTAATGGCTAACAGGAACCACAGACTTAGGCGTTAAGAGCAGGATTTTGTTAGTAGGACAGGATGGTATTGCACGCCTCTAACCCCAGAACTTGGAGTAGAGGCAGGAGGATGGTGTCTTCTAAGCCAAGCCAGATCACATACATAGTGATACTCTGTCTCCATCTCCTTCCCCAAGGGGCCGGGAGCAACTTCTGTGCTCCCAGCATCCTCAGGCTAGTACAACAGAAGCATAAACTGACTGAAGCAGAAGCTGGAAGGGGCTGTGAGACTGAACTGAGACTACAGGTGTCAGCCAGTCTGCGCATGTCACAGGTCTAGAGTGCAACAGTTGCCTCTTTTCCTGCGACGATGAGCACAAGGTGGTGCCACGGGCATCAGTCACATTCTCGGCTCTGCACAAAACACAGTCCATGTGCCACAAGGCCGAGGGATGCACAGTTTTCTAGCTCAAGTGACCACATAGAAACAGAGCTGTAGTTCTTCCGTGAGGACAACAATGCACCTAGTAAACACAGGCAAACACACACACACACACACACACACACACACGGTAGAGCATAAGTAAACAGAGAAAGCCAGACATGTAAGTGTACTCTGAAAAGAAGGGCATGTTTTGTTTAAAACAAATATATCCAAGGATGGTCAGTCCAGGTAAGGCATAAGCACTGAGCACAGTCAATCTAGTTAAGGCATAAACATAGAGCATTGTTAGTCTAGGTAAGCAGCACCATGTACTGTCAGTCTAGGTAACATGGTTAGTCTAGGTAAGGCATAAGTGCCGAACATGATCAGGCCAGGCAAGCAGTCAGCACCACTGCATGTCGACACCACTCTCTGGAGGGCCTGTCTTAACTACGCAAGCCCCAGTCTCTCATTCTGTAGTTTTCTGTGTCAAGATGACCACATCTAGGTGACTACTGTTTTGGCTTTGCCTCCACCACTTTCATGAGGGCAGAAACAGAAGGTGGAATCTTCTAACATTTAGGTGGAGAACAAGGCTATTTAGACCAAGGTTTCAGCTGTCCCTTGGGTTTAATGTGCTCCTCTCTTCTCAGCTGGTCAAGCAGCGGGACCTGAAACTTTGCTGTACCCACCTATAGGCCAAGGTTTTTGGAAACCAACCATAAGTTGCTTATTATCGAAATCAGGAAGGTCAACTGACCTTTGGCAAGCAATCCCCCCTGTGGTTCACACAGAGTGACTGTGTGACTGTAAACGTGGTTCCTGATGCCCATCCAGAAGGCGAGCAAGGCCTATGACGGCTACACCGTGTCCTGCCTTTACTCACCACAGACTCCATGTCGTTCAGAGTTATCTGTTTCCCCAACATCATCTTGTAGAATGGTCGAATGAAGAACCCTGAAATATGGCAAAAGGTTGGTTAAGTTTCCAGCCCTTGATGCGCCTACGCAGCTGCGAAGGAAATCAAGAATACACTGCTTTCCATATAAACGGCCGTCATGACCGAATAATCAAGGATCTTTTAGAGTAACCCATGAGCAAGTGGGGAGGGAACACTGGTTCATTTTAACTGTTAACCTGAGGCAATCCAGAATCACCTAAGAAAATGGTATCAGTGAAGAATTACTTAGATCAGTTTAGCCTGTGGGCACATCTGTAAGTGACTGTCTCAACTGTTGAATGTTGTAGGAAGATCTAGCCCATTGCAGGAGGCGCCATTCCTAGGAAGGGGTCCTGATCACACTAAGAGAAAGATGCTCTTATTCTCTCTTTGCTCTTAACCGTGCATGTGATGTGACCAGCTCTTTGAGTTCCCGTCTTGTCTTCTCCAAAATGATGGGCTGTAACTTGGATCTATAAACTATGAACTTCTCTTCCCCCATGTTGATTTTCGTAAGGATATGTTGTCATGGCAACAGGAATGAACTGGGACAGAGGGCCTAGAAAGGAATGGAGTGGAGTATCTGTACTTGGAGGTGGTTTAGCAGCAGACAAGAATGGCTTCCAGGTGGTGTGTGATGCCACCAAGGCTGGTGTCAACAGAGGGCTGTTATGGTAGTATTGAGTACGGTGTCCCAGGCCGGGCCAGAAAGGTGGCCTCTCCCAGGACAGTGTTGAGTCAACAAGGACAGGCAAGCTCTACCTGCATGTCAGTGTCAGCTCCTAGATACTGCTGGGTGACAGATGCCCCTGTGTGGGTTGAGCAACAGTCTGTGAGGGCTGCCAAGGCCACAGGAGGGCCACGACAGAGAAGACTCCCCGATCAGGTAGCTGTCTTCCTAACCCATCCACAGGAAGGCTGCACCTTTGCCTCCAGATATGGGGTTGCAGGGCCCTGCAGCATAGGCAGCTTCGTTTTGGCTTAGTGTAGTCCCTGGGCCACAGAGGCACACTTTAATGTCTAGTGAGGCAAAAGCATGACGCTGAGCACAGAGGTGGATGCGCTGAGTGTGCTGTGCCAACAGGCATTCGTGTGCTGAGGGACTGAAGACCCGTGGATTCCTGACATACGCGTGACCCCTCTGTGGGAACCAGCTCAGTCACCTCAGGTCCCCATCCACCCTTAGCTCTCTGCATTTTTCCTTCTTCAGGGCTGAGTGCTGGCCAGCCCAGGTTCCTCTGAAACGAATGTGACTTCTAATGCTTTCAGGACACTCAGCAACAAGGCAGAGGGCTTCTCTGCTGCTTCCTGTCAGTCTGCAGCAGGGAAGCCACCTCTGCTAATCATCTTTCTTTATCGTCTGTTTCTCCCTTAACTATGAGGTCACTGGAGTCAGGACCGTGTTTTACACTTATCTCTATTCCCCCACACTAATTAACAATGTCTTCTTGCTTGGTGGAAGATGAATGAGCAGACGTTCTCAGAAGGTAGAGAGGATGAACGGACTGACAGAAGCAAAGGAGGGGCCTGGAGTAAAAAATAAGCTGCATACCCACACGGGAAGAGTCATAAGGAAGTGCTTACTGTATACATACACACATGGACAGAACCAGAAAGAAGTGCTTACTGTATACATACACGCATGGACAGAACCAGAAAGAAGAGCTTACTATATACATACATGCATGGACAGAGTCAGAAAGAAAAGCTTACTGTATACACATGCATGGACAGAGTCAGAAAGAAGTGCTTACTGTATACATACACATGCATGGACAGAACCAGAAAGAAGAGCTTACTGTATACACACAAATAAGTATCAGCTGTACACTCTTGAGCAGTGAGTCAAACAGTTGTATGCACCTTATGCATACAGTGTCCCTTCCCCCTTGCAAAATAAAATACTGATAATTAGCTAGCCATTAGTAGTACAAATATATTAAAAGAGAAGTTTGGAGGGTCCATCAATTATTTACTGGAGTAGCTCAAGCTTCAAAAAGGCATCTAGCCAAATTCCCTTGCAAATGGCCCTCTCTACTGTCACAGGAATGTTGTCTTCAACTACTCTACCTCACGTCTCAAATTTCTCATAATTTTTTGCTCACTGATGATTTCTGTAGTGCTCACTCATGTAAGGTAATATTTTGAGACCACTAAGTCCATACGAGACCTGTATGACAGACTTTGGTATATCCAGGTGGGAGGGGCTTTGAGCCCTAACTTCTCATACCCTGGAGTTCCTGTATATTTCCTCTCCAGAAGGACACAGTTAATTTGCTCCTTCTACTTCAGAGGACATTCCAGGGTTAAGGCCTTAGTCGAGTGATAACATCACTTTGAAATCATTAAAAACCAATTTGGGGACAAATGGAGCAAGGGCAGGCTACTGATGGATTAGATCATCTATTTAACATTTCAATTAAATTTTCCATCTGTCAGTGAATCTAGCTCTCACTAGATGAAAGGTGTCCTGAAAAACACATGGGATGACTGATCTGTGCTTCAGTTTACGGAGAGTAAGTATATACAGAGCCCTGTCTTCAGTGCACGAAACTGTACCAAAAGACCATGGTTAGGGGAAAGCTGGAAAGCCCACACACTGTAGGTTAGGGCTCTGAGGGATGTGCAAGATCCTGGGCTCAATCTCCAGTAAGAAAAGAATCAGCTACAGAGGGCCAGAGAAGCTCTTACTGACCATCTACATGTAGGCTAAGACATGGGATTGCAGAAGCGTAAGAGGCATTGCCTTACTTTTATTACTATAAGCCTTTGGAGTAACTCACCGTCTAAGAGTTTTCCATGAAACACTGCCAAGCCAGCAACTCTTCCAATGAAAGTGAAATAGGACAGATGATCTTCATTACAGAGGCCTGAGTTGGGATTGATCTGAAGTGTGTAGTTGTCCCTTTGGGGAGGAAAAGAGAAAAGTCAAATCACACTTAAAGAAAAAAAAAAAAGAAAGAAAGAAAAGAAAAGAAATCCAAGAAGCTGATCTTGCCTTTGTCACCTGTCGCTCCATTTTACAGTGCAATTGCAAACCTTTAGGACTTGGTGGCAACTGGTATGAGCTGGGAGATACAACCCACCAGTCACACACCCCTTTCTGTAGTGACAGTTCTGGGTTAATAAAGTGCAGAAACTGTGGACAGTTGCCTAATTTTTATCTATGGAGATGCCAACTTCAGGGGCCCAGGGCGACAGCCCAGTCATAAAGTAGTTGCCTTGCAAATATGCAGGCTTCAGTTTGATCCCCAGAACACACATTTAAAAAAGCTGTGTGTGGTGACTCACGCTTATAATCCCAGGGTTTAGGAGGTTGAAACAGATGGATCCCTGGGGGCTTTCTGGCTGCCTAGCAGATTGGCAAGTTCTAGGCCAGTGAGAGTCTGTCTTAAAAAACAAGGTGAGGATACCTGAGGCTGCCCTTTAGCTGTCATACACACATATACACACGCATACATGTGCAATAATACATACGAACACACACACACACACACACACACACACACACACACACACACACACACGTCAGTTTCAAATGGGTCAACCAGACATCCCGAGAAGATGAGAACGCTCACAGTGTAAAAGGATGTGCAGAGATCCTCAGGGACACAAGTTCTGTAGATGGTTTCTGTGATCAAAGAAGGCTAATTCCTCTGAGAGGCTTTTTGATTTGGGGATATTCCCTACAGGACAGACTCTTGGGTAAGTGATCTAAGGATCACTGGGAGAAGAACATGGTAGTCTTAATAATGCAAACCCCAGGACACATGTTCCCCTTTGGACTCACAATCATGAGAACAAGGAGCTTTCAGGAAGGCAGTGCAGACTGATTTTTCTAGGAGTTACTTGGAGACGTAGGGAAAGGTAAGGACCTTGGCGCCTACCTGCTTGCTCTCTTTCTTTCTTTCTTTCTTTCCTACCTTGTTTTCTACTTCAGTGGTGTTAACGTTTTCTACAGCGGATTCTCTCATGAGCCTCACTACCAACCACTACCAACCAAGGCAATTTCTGGCTAGATCAACTGAAGATTGTCCTGAGATAGCCTTCCCAATAAGCCCTATAATATAGGTATGAGGAGGAAGATGTAGGAGAAACCACATCAGTTGTAGTCTACTACAAACAAAGCTAAATAAACATCTCCTTGCCAAGATCAATTATTCCACTGGGAGTTTAGGATCAGCCTCAAGTTCCTGAACACTCTCAGCCCAGAGAAAACAGGAGCCAAATGTTTGCTGAGGAAACAACCCAGTCCTGCCTCAGTTCCCTTGCCAGGCAATGATGAAACCCTAATGCAAGGCATAGCCTGGTTCTTCTGTTATGGAACGAGGGTAATATCTTTTATATCCCAGGCATGGGTCTTCAAAATCCTCATAATTTGCCTTTTAAGTAGTATGACTTCAGAAACAGTCCTTGTTCATGCGACTCTCTGAAGCCTGATACTAATAAATCCTTCCTTAAATTAGAATGGCATTACAAATAAAAAACGCCCTGCTCCCTTGGTAACAACCTAACACATTTTCAGTTTCAATTCTGTGAGCCAAACAGGAGAAGAATCCCTTTCAGGTGTTCATGGTGTACAGCGCCTCACCACATTGGCTCGGAATTTGTTTTTAGACTTGTGAGGGTGCTGGGGTGGGGAGAGACTGAAATCTCACGTGGGGGGGGGGTCGTCTTTTAATTGTACTTTAAGTTCAATAAGCTGTATCAGCGGCAGGGGAGGGGAATACATTGCCAATGGCTTCCCTGTACTTACGTGGCAGAGTACTCAAAGAGACCATAGTAGGGGTTGAACATCTCTTTGGACAGCAAGAAGAACCATTCCCTGGCGACACCCCCATAGTCCAGTCCTTTCTCTGATTCGAATTCAATCCACAGTCTAGCCTTTAGGACATCGGGCCTTTTCACAGACATGATCCTCCGATAGGACTCTTCAAATATGTTGTTTCTGTGGAGCTTCATTTCAAACCTGTTTGGAATATCAGCCTAAATGAAAAAGAGAAGCTAGTGAGCATACGGTATGAACATGCACACACACGCACGTACGCGCGTGCACACACACACACACACCCTACCATACTGGAAAATAACACAAGGGTAGAAACGATGACAGCTTTTAGATAAATGCGTGGTGCCGACTGGACCAGCAGGGAGTCTCTCCTTTACGGATTTGTCCTCACACAGATGGGAACCCCACTGTGTTAAGATGGGACACACAGAAGCATCCATTCACTTCTGCTCAGGCCAAGCCAGCAACATGTCTTTGGGAGAACATCTGCTGAGCCCTGAAACCCATCCTTATCTCTTTGTGGACACGGGCACTTTGCTGACAGGCATCTCCGGATATAGGTTCCGTCAAAAGAGAGACTTAATCCCAGGTAATTAAACTGTTAAGCAACAACCCCTAGGCAAGCTGGAACTAGCCTTATCTGTGGTAGGGACTGCAGCTGGGAAATGCAAGCCATGATGCCTGCAAGTTTATTGTGTATCATAGGGGAGTGGGACCTTTATCCTACTAAGTCTGGGAGAAGCATCTCCAAATCCAAAGTTGACTGAATGATACCCAGCACTTAAGTGAGGTATGCCAACAGCGTTCTGGAAGGATGAAACCCAGGCCAGTCTTGCCCTAGATGGGCAACGGCCCTGGAGCTCCTTGTCACTGGAGGACACACAGAAGGCTCACAAGGTAAGAGGACTGTATGCCCCACTGTGAGCTTCAGGGGCAAAGAGGCTCCAACTGTGGGACAGAGAGTGGATTCTCTGCTCTCAGAGGCTGCCAGCATCCCTCTACCACAGGAGAGAGCTCAGAACTAGACATCAACTGGAGGGAGCAGACAAAGGAGGAGTTATGGTGGGGCTCACATTCTCCTTGTCCAGAGGCACCAAGTTTCTGAGCAAACTGAGGGCACAACTAAGGCCCTCACCAGAGAGGTAACGGGTACAGGGGACCGTGAGAAGACATGCCAACAGCAAACACAGCGCCAACTCAATGCTGACTGTAAAACGGAAAAGCCTTCCGGGTCTCATGGTTGTACACTGGTAGTGAGAATTATAAATATCCTCGGGCTCATCACTACCGAGTATTATTACATGCTGTAAACTTCTGGTTAAACATCCATGTTGCAGAGTTAAAATTGCACCTCTGATTAGAAAGAGATGCCCTCAATGTGGTTTCTCCAGATTTCTTGTTTCTGGTCTTATTTTCTATTCCATAAGAATCCCATGCCTTCTTATGTCTCACATAAGCAACTGCCCTTCAGGTGATGATACTGAGTTAATCTCACTTACCACCGCTGAGCAAATTCAAACTGAAGCTCTTGGTGGACCAAAGGGCAGGGAAGAGAGGGAAGTGTCCACAGACAAATCACAAACAGGCTATTTCAATGAGGTAACGTTGGTGAGGGGAACAGAATAAGACACAGAGCTGATCCAAGGGCTGATTACTCACAGGTTTCTTTAATTTCTTCCTAAAGTAGTCATACTTCTGCTTAAATTCTCTGGAGTAAGGAACAGCCTGCAAGAGAGATTCAAACGCACAGATAACGTAAACATATGTCTGAAATTGTACGTACAGAGAGCCAATGCTGGCAGACTTTCATGAACTGCAAACCTTACATACTCATTTTCTGTATTTTCTACAGAAAACCTGCATAATAATGTCTCCACAGGGAAAGGGAAAAGTCCTCGAAATGATGAGGGATAACAGTACACCTAGAGTGACAGCCAAGGAATCTCGGGATCGCGCTGCACAAACCAGTACGTGTTTTGCGTGATTCTGCCAGAGTATGAGTCAGGGCAACACACAGAGATACAAAGATACGAGCATCTTTCATCATTGTATCATCTGCCTTTCCTGGAGCCAAAGTGTTATAGGCTATGGTACTTTAACCCACAACTCCAAGTGATACTTGAAAAGTCTTTGTGGGAAGCCATGCATGGTACTCATGTTAGTAATGCATTACTCGGGGGCAGTGGCAGGATGATGGTGAGTTCAAGACCATTCTGGACTATACATTAAGATGATGTCTCAAAACACCAAGCGATGGGGGCACAACTCAGCGCCAAAGAGTGTGCTTAGGAAGTGCAAGGCTCTAGGCTTCACCCCCAGTACTACAAAATCAACATATCAACTTGTAGAGAGAAACACCAGAGGTAGAAAGGGCAGCAGGCTGATAGCTGTGTCAAGGAGTGGGAATTCTGAGTAAATGGCATTTCAGAAAGGATTCAGACTGAGGACGCACAAGGTTTGTCTTTTACTTGGTGTCCTGGCTGGCTCTGACTTGAGCAATTGCCTAAATCAGATTTGGCCTATGTTTGCCTAGGGATCGTCTTGATTGTCAGTTTTTAGAAGAGGGCCTAGCCCACTGCAGGCAACACCATTCCCAGGGAGGATGATTCTGGATTGTATAGGGAAGCTAGCTAAGGATGAGCCCGTGTGAGTCAGCATGCAGCATCTCTTGTGGTTGGAAGCAATGCTGTACGGAACAGCAAGCAGGCCTGCCTTCGAGTTCTCACTTGGTAGACTGTTGTAGTGATATCTCATTTGTATTTTAATAAATAAAGCTTGCCTGAAGATCAGAGAGTAAAACAGCCCCGTTGGTCAGCTTTATACACCAGACAGTGGTGACACACACCTGTAATCCCAGTAGCCACACTAGGTTGCCATAGAAACCGGGCAGTAGTGGTACATGCTTTTAATTCCAGCACTAGAGAGGAATATAAGACGGGAGGAGACAGCTCTCACACACACTCTCATTCTGAGATTCCTGGAGGCAGGATAGCTATTTCAGACTGAGGTAGAGGTAAGAGCCAGCAGCTGGCTGTTTTGCTTTTCTGCCCTTCAGGTTTAACCTCAATATGTGTCTCTGGGTTTTTATTAATCATGCTACAGACTATAACCTGAATTGTAAGCTTCCCTAGGTGACTTTGGGTCAAGCTATTTATCACAGTAGCAGAAATGAAACTAGGACACTTGGGCAAGAATTCCTCTAAACTTGAATGCCTTCTCTGTGGAGCGAAGGTGACTCCATTGGGGGTGGGGTGGGGTGGGGTGGGCTCGAAGTCTCAGTCAGATACAACTATGCAAAAGTTTCAATATCCTAGCTAGGTGGCACCTGAGAGGTTGAGGCAAATGACCATGAATTTGAGACAGGCCTAGGCTTAGAACTAAAAAGGCTATGGGGAAGCTAACCTCAGGCCCAGGGAACCTAGAAGGAACTGTATCTCTATCTAGGGATGTAAATGTAGACATTCTAAAGGAAATAGACTAGAATAAATTCACACCTCATGCTTGTATCCAATTGTGTGTGAGGGCCACAATTATTCTAATCAGGTAGCATAAACCCAGGCCAAGAAAGTGACTGCAAATGCTGGCCAGGAATTTAAAAGCCTCCCAAGGGGGAAAAAGTGGTGCCTGTGGCTGTGTGGGTGTACGCGAGCACACACATGCACACTCACACATACACACACATGCATGCACGACCGTCACCCAGACAATACACAAGTGTGTTGAACATCTAGACATAACAAGTAGGAGACTGAATGCTCCTAGGACCAGAGAGAACAGAGTATCAGAGAGAGGATGTTCTGCAGTATCTTTATGACAGAATATAAAAGGATAATTTAAAAGGCAATACAGAAATGAAAAGACAAAGAAAACTTATGAGACCCCAAAGAACTTTGAACAATTGAACACGCTCACTTAATAGGCACAATGAACACATAAAAAAAATTGTAAAAACCTTAAGAAAGGATTAACTAGAAGAATAAAGTAACAAATCAAAATGCAGCCAGGAAAGGAGGCAGGAGAGACTGACTCCGAAGGGACAAGAACAAAGACGGAAGGCAATGCAGACGCTTGGCTGGATTGAGGATGGGGAAGGATGGGGAAAGCAGTGTGTGAATCAAGAATGGCTGAGGGTTTGCCAGACCAGAGGAAGGATATAGCCACCCCCACCCCAACCCACGGGTGATCCCGAATGCCAGGTAAGAACCACAAAGGGAAATCCACAAATTGGCATGCGACTGTGAGCTTGCAGAACATCAAAGATAATGAGCAAATTTAAAAAAAAAAATCACTACAGGAAAAAAATATTTGCCTTCAAAGACATGGCAATCAGATTGACAACAATTTTTTTTTAATCACCAGTTTGAAGGTCAGAGGATATGGGAGAATATAAAACAAAAACAAACAAACAAACAAACAAAAAAACAGAAGAAAAAACCCAGAATTATGCTATCAGCAGAACTGAGTATTTGAGGGAAAGGGCCAACCGGACTAAGGATGCTTTCACTCTCAGCGCCTCTGTACTGTGGCAGGGCAGCAGTTCTGGGTTAACAGACTGTTAGCCCTGCCCGGTTTGTTAAGCCAGTAAACCATGAGGTACTGTATCGGAAGAAAATCTGGGGTGGGGGTTCGTGCAAAACCAAGATGGGGAGAAAGGTTATTCCCTAAAGGTAAAATTATGTAATTACTGACTATTGCAGGGGAGTGGGGTGGGGAATTAAAGTATTTAGGAACTATAAAGACAAGGTGGGTTTAAAATTCTACCTAGGAAAAATCAGGAGGGAAGAGAATGATTAATTCTATTTTTATGTCAAAGGTTATTTAAAGCTTTTAAGTGGGGGTAGGAAGAGAGTTTTGTCAGTAAAGCTTGCACTGCAAGTCTGAGGGCCCGACTGCAGATCTCCAGGGCCCACACCAAGGCCAGGTGATGGTGTGTGCCTAGAATTCCAGCGCTGAGGAGCGGCAGGGGAGCAGGACAGGAGGACCCCTGAAGCTCACTGGCTACCTGGTATTGCCAAATCAGTGGGCTCTATGCTCAGCTGGAGACCCTGCTTCAAAGACTAAGTTGGAGAGTGACAGAGAACGACACTGGATGCTGACCTCTGATCTCACACACGTGCATACACACAAATGTACACACACACGGAACACTAACACACACTACCTTAATGTGAACACAAAAACAGAGCATATTATCAAAACAAAAAGGGGAAGTTAAGACACTTGTATAGAAGGTAAGAAAAGAAGAAAAAGCCCTGCAAATTAAGGGACAAAACACCAGGCACATATTAATGAAGAGAGAACGTGAATATAATTTAGATGAATTTCAGACAAAACTGATATATAGATTTTGATGCTATCATGATAGGATTCTACTGCCAGGAAAACCACATTGCAAGCGTGTGTGATCACTTAACACTCAGGCTTTTCCTGACTGACCTATAAAGGCTTTTCCAACTACACACACACACACACACACACACACACACACACACGCACTTCTTTTTTTACAAACAGGGTCTTACCAGATAGCTCTGATGGGCCTGGAACTCAATATGTAGACCAGGTCTGTCTTGAACTCACAGAAATTCACCTGCCTCTACCTCCCAAGTGTTAGGATTAGAGGTATATACTACCAAGCCCAACACAATAAGTATATTTTTAAAAACGCAAACAGATCATTCTCTAATAATGACCATGCCTTCAAGGAAGTCAGAAGTATCATAAAAATTCTATAGCTTCTAGGCACAGTGGCCCGTGTGAGTTCCAGGCCAGTCAAGGTCACATAAGGAAACCCTAGCTCAGGAAACCAAAACCCAAATAAAAAATCCAACTCAATTCTCTGTCCAGGAACATTCCAGGCAATGTTCTCTAGTTACTATGTAATAAAGTAAGAGACCTTTCTTATATGTTCACAGATAAAAGGAAGATTCCTATTTAATCTATAAAAAGAAAAATTATATGGAAATTCCCAATTATTTAAAAATGAGTGTTATGAGAGCCAAATGTCTTTCCTAAATTGTAATTACCCATATTCCTACAGAAAGAAGCACTGTTTCTAATAAGGGGAATAAACAAGGCTCCTGTTAAAAGAGATTTCTTGGGACTAATTTGCTCGAGCTTAGGATGTCAAGTAATTTTCTTCTTCCTTTTTAAAAGACAGAAAGAATATTGCTAAATGGCTCACCCTGGCCTTGAACTCTTATCCTCCCAAGAGTAGAATTACAGATGTGCGACACCACATCTGGCTAAATAACTTTCAATAACTAGTAAGTACTATTTGAGCAGAGGTGGGTGACGGACAAACGGTGGAAATCTTTGGAAAGAGCCGAGCTTGGCAAGTCTGTCTCTAGAGAAAGTAATGTCTGTAGTTCCTCTTGTTTTCAACAACCGTGGGGACATACACTGAACGGCCAACTGTGGCTACAACTTTGTCACAAAGAAGCCACCAGTAAGTGAGGGAGTGCTCCGAAAGCTCGGTGGAGGAAAGGTTATGAGCTTTCTTCTAACAGGGATTCCATAGAAAACTGCCGAGTAGCTGAACAAATCCACTTAGTTCAACAAACGGACGGCTGAAGGGAAGTTACTGATCCACATGTGTATGGTCAGACTTAAGCTTGCAATTTAAGAATAATTTCAAACAGATCACATCGATGCCATGAAATTAAGTGTTTTCTCTCCAGCTCTTAAGACTCTTGCTCAGCACACTGGTTTCATTTGCTCGAGAATTCTCCTGAAATTCTTTGACAGCTTCCCAATTGTGCATAACGCGAACGTAAGTCATTTTCACGCTCCCCTCCCCAACCCATGCTTATTCCTGATAAAACACGTCTTTCTAACACACCTCTTTCCTACTTTGGTGGGTTTCCTTGTTTGTGACCCACTGAGTTTAACTGGGACAAAAGGGTTTCCTAGAATGGGAACAGTTTATTTGTGGCTAGACCATTGAAGAAATGGTCCTGCCTCCTACCTCCAGCAACCATTAACTGCCAACAGTTTCGGGGCGGGGGTGGGGAGGGAGGAGGAGCCTTGCGAGTACCTCCCCCTGTCAATGAAAAAAAAAACACTGAAGGGCCAAAACTTGTGCTGGAGTGCTCTTGAATTATTTCAAAAGGACCCAAATTTGCAATCTCCTGTTGGTCCCAGTCAATTTCCTGTCTCTATCGCCCCAACTTATCTCCATGTACTCCCTGCTGAGGAGTTTGTCCCTAGCACACAAGGATTTAGGACTTTCCCTCTGCCTATGAATACAGTGTGCTGTGAAATCTCAGGGGATCATACCCCTAAGCTGGAGGGGTATTTTCTAGCCAGCATGTATGAGCAGCACTAGGACAAAGCCGGGGAGTCAGCAGAATGGAAGATGCGTGACCCACATCTTTGCTACCTCCTCTCGACGGGCTTTTAAAAGAGGAACAGACTCCAGTTGATTGGCACGCACTTATTATCCTTGGCCTAAAACAAATGACAGCATCCTATAAATGCTTGGTTTCGCAGCCTATAAAGATGAATACTGGTGCCCCCCCCCCCCCCCATCTCTCTCTCTGTCTCTGCCTCTCGACAGACAGGCATTCTCTGGGTAGCCCTGGCTGTCCAGGAACTCACCCAGCAGACCAGTCTGGCCTTGGACTCAGAGACCTGCCTAACTCTGCCCCCTGAGTACTGTGATTAAAGGCGAGCCCCACCACTGCATGACTGAATGCCTCTCTCTCTCTCTCTCTTTTTTTTTTTTTTGATTTTTCGAGACAGGGTTTCTCCATAGCTTTTGGTTCCTGTCCTGAAACTGGCTCTTGTAGACCAGGCTGGCCTCGAACTCACAGAGATCCGCCTGTCTCTGCCTCCCGAGTGCTGGGATTAAAGGCGTGCGCCACCACCGCCCAGCTTGAATGCCTCTCTCTTAAGGAGCCTGTATCCACACTTAGGTAAAAGTACCTCTCTCCTTTTTTCCGAGTGCCTCTCTTTCTCTTAATTCTCATGCTTAAGCCTATATTAAAATATCTTCAACCAAACTCTGCTTTACTGTTAAAAAAAAAAAAAAGGAGAAAAATCCTGTTACACATTTAAACCATGCTTTTAGAGGGGACCAGGAAGAAAACGTTTCAATCCGCTATTATAACACCATTTTCTCTTCCTTTGTAATTCCGGTCTGAAGCAAAGGCCCAGGCAGCTGTACCCCATTTGGAAAACTCACTGAAGAGCTGGGTTGAATCTTAATCTACTTATTCTCAGCAGTCTCTAGACATCACAGTAATAAGGAATAAACAAGAAGGGTGTGTTAGAAGCAGCCACAGCTCCTGTGAAGGGGAGGAACAGGAGAATACTGACCGGACCCGTGATGGCTGGGTTCTGTAGTCTCGGATCTTCCCACTGAGTGATTTTGCTGTCTGAAAACATTAAAACCATGAATGCATTAGTTCCAATTCATTTTGTAGACAGGATGTTTAAGAAAGGATTTCCTTCTGCAAAGTCCATCCAGCCCCTTTTGCTTGACCCCTGGGAGCATTTAGTATTGGGGGTTAGAAGGTAACTCTGCTGTCCATGGCAAACATATATATGATTAGTTAAAAGAAATTAAAAATGCGCAACAAAATTAAAACCACTTCCTTGCAGTTTCTAGCAGGCAGTCTGGTAAATCTGCGATTATAAACCCCTTTACTCACAAGGATTTATAACTTGATCTTGATTTCCAAAAGGCCTAAGAAGTTTTAGCTCCCTAGGAAGTTAACACGCATACACATGGTTGTTTTTTTTTTTTGTTGTTCTCATTTCAAATACTTCTTAAAATCTGCTTATGATGTTGCAAAACGGCTTTCAAGTGAGGATTCTATATTGAACAAATGAATAATCCACTCCATGCACCTCTTATAGGCACGTACAACCGAGGCAGCAGAGGCGGTCACCAAGAAAAAAGGAAAAGAACTAGACACAGCTGACAGGATTCCAGAGAAAGGGTTTCCTTGCAACCTCGCTCAGCAGAGAGTGGTGTGAACAACACTGCTTCTCAGCAGCTGCCCTATCACTCGGTGGCCCAGGTGATGGTGTAGAGCCACGGCCTGGGTTGGGAGTGCTTTCGCCTGTGCACGATTAAAAGGCGTCAGAGAGGCCTGCGTGTACATGGCACCACGTGGAGGGCTGGGGGATTCAGATGGTATGGAGAGGGCAGGTTGGGGTTCAGTACCTCTAAGGTGAAAAGAAAGAAAGGGGGGATCATTTCTCCCTGAAAACCCACCCTGTTCATTCTTAGCCTGCCGGTGAGCTGATGGTAACTCGCGGACTCAACTTTAACAAGCACCTCAGCTAAATGTTTAAACCCTGACATTATTAACTTCATGAAAGCACAAAATAAACATCAAAATCCTAAGCTATCCCTTTACAATGCTTATTTATGTCTTTTGGTTGGGTAGAAAAAGTAGATGAGTGAAAAGCTCAATTGCTTCAGGAAACACTGACGGACTCAGGTGGTACTTTAGGCTGTCTAATTTTTAAAAAGCACAGACTGTGGAAAGTAAAAGCTGCTACTGAGATGATAGAAAATCAAACCCAATCAAATATAGGTCACAAAATACAGTGGGTTACAGCTGGATGCAGCTGGATAGAACCGTGTCTTTGTATAGCAGCTTGGGTCGTATCTGTGGTGGCTGGATGTTTGTCATCAAAACAGGAGATCAAACCAACCACTCCCAACACACGAGGACTTCCAAATCTTATGACCAGACTGAATGCCAGACTCCAGCCCTGACACCTGCACGGGGGTCCCCTTAGATTCCTGAGCAGGTGGTCACCCATGCCAAGGAGTGCCCCATGTAACCGGACACTCCAGTCAGCAGCCTGAGGATTAACCCGGATGGTTGATTTGCCTGAATTGAGATCAGTGAAGCCAACCACTGGGTGTGTCTGTGAGGGCTTTTCCAGAGAAGATTAACCAAGGCGGTTGTGGAAGGAGCTGCCTGAATGTGGGCAGCTCTATTCCTGCAAGCTGGGTGCTAGGATGGATTAAAAGGGAACTGAGAAGGCCCATCAGCCTACACATTCTGTCACTCTCCTCCTGTCTGCCATGAAGAATAGCCTCTGCCATATTTTTCTATCGCCACGATGGTCTAGAACTAATGGAGCAAAGGACCAGCTAGACCTCTGAAACCGTGAGCCCAATTAAATTCTTCCTCTTTTAAACTGTCTGTGCCAGGTCTCTGTCTCAGTGACCAAAGCAGGGTCGTAATCCACTGACCTGACCATGTCCTTGGTGACCATCAACTGCCATCACTTCTCTTGTGGCATCTGTTTCCTGGACTATTCTACGCTCTAGACTTTCAGTGCCATGGCCTAACTAGCCTCTATTCAAGATTTCCTCCACAGGTCTGCTCCAAGTTTATTCTCAAGAATATCTCTGACTACTGTCGCTGGACTCCGGGAAAGCCCTTTGAAGCTCTTCTTGTTTGCAGCACAAACGCCAGGCTCTTTACATGCTGACCAGGCAGAACAGGACTGCATTCCCTTGGGCAGCAGCTCTCAACCTTCCTGATGCTGCAACCCTTGATTAGAGTTCCTCATGTTGTGGTGATCTTCCTAACCATAAAATTATTTGCATTGCTACTTCAGAACTGTAAATTCTGCTACCGTTATGAATTGTAATGCAAATATCTGATGTGCAGGATTATCTGCTATGTGAGAACCACCGCCCTTGGGGATGGTAGAGTACGACCAGTCATGCCCTTGCAAATGTCTCTTCACACCCAAACAAATCATGACTAAAGCTTTAGAGTTTTCAGAGACAGAGCCCATGGGGCAGTCCCCATTCCCAGTGTGGGAGCTGCTGGCCATATCTGGAAATTGATTTCCACTGAGCTCTTTAGGGTGATTCCTGCTCAAAATCTGCCTGAAAGAGAACACAACTCAGAAAGCCATCTTCAGCCACCATCAAGCTGAACACCCAGAGTACAGGCTTGCTTTCCAACATAGTATGTAAGACAGCTTCTGGCACTTTTTGCTGGACATGGGCCCTTGAGGACAGGGGTTATAGGTGTCCAATCCCACAATTCCTCTCCACTGCTGAGCATGCCTCAACATTTAATGGGAGCTCCAGTTGTTACCCCCAAAACAGCTTTAATCGGCTGTTGGATAAGATTTAGGAGTTTATTTACCTTCAGAATGAAGTCCCTATTTTCAAATAGTTATCTAGCAAAATCCACCATTATCTTTCTAATGATTTAATGATGCTAATAGTGAAAATAAAGTCGCTCACAAATAGTTGGAGCGCTTAGAACCGCACACATTTTCCTGAGCTACGAAGTGGATTTGCAGTCAAGTATTGTCAGTTGGTGAATGAGGGGTGGACAGTTAGCTGCTGTCTTAAAGGATTTCTGAATCAAAACACACCTTTTACCTTTGAGACATGAAATTCAAATCAAATGACAAGAAGGAGGCAAAGGATGAGAAACACAGCCACTGCAGCTGCTGCCCATAGGTTTGGTAACGCAAAAATTAATGGAATTTCTCTTTTAACTTTTGTATTTGAGAGACAACCGCCAATGACTCAGCTTCTGGGCACATCTGGTTTGTAAGAAAAATATTTTCCCCACGTGTGCCAGAGATTTCATGCTAGATATGTTTCTAGCACGTTACCCAGAAGGAGTTCATCAATCAATAAATAAATATCAATCAATAAATCCTCATCAATAAATATCCACCAAGTGAACCAAGCTGTTCAAACCTGAGCATCCAGTGCTGAAAGTCTGCCTCTCAGGCGAACAAGCACTGTTAGTGCAGGAAATACCAGTGAAGCCTCATTCCTGACCTGTGGGGAGTACCCACTGACCTGAGGAAGTCTTTGAAAAGGGCAGGGATTTTCTACTTGACAGATTAGATTTTAGGGAAAGGCAGAAGAACGGTGTCACTGCCACACATCCCTTTATGGTTGCACAGGGCAAAGCTTGGCAAATTCTGAAGAACTGCTTTTAGTGGCACTAAGAGTGTCACCTAGCCCCAGTTAGAAAATTCTCAGAATTCAGAATAAACAGTATTCCAGGGGGAAGGTAACGCATGCCCATACACTGAGAGTGTTTGTGTTGACAACGATAGGCTCGCAGTACGGTGCTGGAAAGTACATAACCCAGCATTTGTTTTTCTGAACAAAGACAAAAATCAAAGTTTATATAGCTTGAAATAATCTGACTTAAGTTCAAGGGTGGCCCAACCCCCTAAATATTCTGGGTTTTGGCTGGGCCTTCTCATCGACTTCAAACCCACTAATCCTCATGTCTGAAGGCAAGTTCTTGGAGTATACTAGGGCCCCTTGTGACACTTGGGAGGAGTTACCCAACCCCCCCTGCTGAGATGGCCACCAGCCTGTGTGTGAGCACTGCCTGGGGTGAGACTTCTCAACAAAAGGCTCATCAGTATACTCTCTGTTCATTTATCAAAACCTGAGACCTGTGCTCGCTTCCTGCTTACAGATTAAATGAAAGCACAGAACTAAATACTGCTGACTGCGCTCGGATTTGAACTTTGTTTGAAGCCTTATTTTACACTTTTTTCTCTCTCTCCCTCCCACCCTCCTTCCTTCCCTCCCTCCCTCCCAAAGTTTTAGGGATATACAAATATAATTCCATGAAGAACAAACTGTCTCAAGAATGAACCCTGCCCTCCCCCTCCCCCAACCCTTCAAAACCAACTCTCTGGCTAAAAGCAAACATTGATTAGTTTAACTTTTAGATGAGATGAGAAAGCACACGTGTATCCACAGGTGCTAAAGCAAACGTCCTCAGCAAATACACTACACGTATCATTAGTGTGCCAGGTGCAAGGCCACATGCTACGATAGAAAATAAGGTCAGAACGGGCACTCCGCCAAGGCGGGGTTCCGAAAGCATATGCAGCCCAGAACACCGCTCACGTGGATTTGTTTGTTTCAAACTAAATCATCACTTCTAATCTTATTTTCTATGTCCAGAGTGTACTTATTAAAAGCGCAAAAAAAAAGGACTGTCAATGAAAAATTTTTAATTAAAAAAAAAAAGTTAATAGGTCACAAGGTCAGGTTGGGCAAAAGCTCAAGGGACTACTCTGAGGCAGACTTGGAGCGAAGGCACAGTACCGTATGAGGGCACTGACTCTCTGGGCTCATTCTCGCCACACAACACCTGGCTACCTGGACAGGGAGTAAAATGACAAAGCTTCACTGTCACGGTGTGTTACCCTCCCCTTCCAGTGCCCGGTCACATCCGTGAGCACAGCAGGCTCTACTTACTATGGTCAATGTAAAACGTCCGGCCGTCCAAGTGGATCCTTTCTTCCCAACCGGGCTAGCATCCAGGAAAACGAGGGAGAGAGGAGAGACATCAGTTAGTGGTTCCCAAACCCAAGGCGACACTAAATTCTCCAGGACTCTTCTTTCCTATTCCCTGCTAGGGACACTTTCACACGGGGACTATGTCAAACAATGCTAACTCGGGGGCACAGCTAACAAGTCGCATCAGCTCAAGCTTTCCCTGTATGAAGGACCAGAAATGGTGTTCTATGGTAACCTGTTCAAGAATTCAGAAAAGGGGGCTGGAGAGATGGCTCAGACATTAAAAGCACTTGATGCTCTTGCCAAGGACCTGGGTTTGTCTCCCAGCACCCACACAATGCCTCAAAACCATCCACGATTCCAGCTCCAATGGCTCTGATGCCTTCCTCTGACTTTTGTAGGCACCAGGCATACACGTAGTATAAATATACACATCCAGGCAAAACAATAAGACACATAAAAAATAAATCTAAGATATATTTTTAAAGAGTTCAGTGTGGAGAGTTCATTTAGTTAAAACACCTACTGTGTACTTCAGGGAAGGAGAAGGAGGGCTCGGTTACACATACAGCACACAGTGGCTTTATTAAGTGGCCGAGTAGCCCAGTGCTGAGGACTCTCACTATTTAAACAGAAGAACTGAAAGCTCTGGACAACCAACCAGCCTTTCCTCCCTGCCTCTACATACACATCTGGGTGTGTATATAGGAAGGTGCATATGCGTAAGCGTGGGAATGGGTGTGGGATCTGATGTCGATGTCTGCTGCCTTCCTTGACGGCTCTCTATCCTAACACAGAAGGTAGTCTCAGAGAGCCTGGAGCTTTCCTTTCTGGCTGGTCTGCTAGCCAGCCTGTTCTGGGCATTGAGTCTCTGCCTCCTCACCCATCTGGATCACCTGTGGGCTTTGCTGTGGGCTCTAAGGCTCTCACCTCCGGTCCCCACACTGCCATAGCAGGTGCTTTACCTGCTGAGTCACAGCCCTAACATCTGGGTACTTTTCAAGATAAGGTCAGCGTGCCTTACTGACTCAGAAATAGAAAAGAGTCAAACAATAGACTTTCTTTTTTGGGGGGGGGGGTTTGTATGTGCGTGTGTATGTGCACATGTGTATGCAGGTATACATGCCCATGCATGTGGAAGTCTGAGGAGGGCACTGGGTGTCCTGTTTTAAGAAGAGCTAACCTAGCAGCCAGTAAGCGCCAGTGACTCTTCAGTCTGCCCCCCACCCCCAGCACCAGGGGCTACAGGTGTGCACATGGCCAAGTCTAGCTTTGCACGTGGGTTCCAGGAATTGTGAGGGTTAACTGCGAATCTTACAGATGAAGACTAGCCCGTAACTATGTCCCAAGGGTTGCTATAGTCTATCATACAACAAGGCTCTTTTCCTTGGAAGAGAATAACCATTTCCATTTACAAACAATGCTAGAGGCTGGGCGTAGTGGTCTGCGTAGCTATCCTAGCATGTGGAAAGTGACAGCAGAGGGATTTTGACTTCAGGCTGGCCTGGCCTGTCTAAAAAAATAATAAATAAATAAAATAACAAGAACCCCAAATCAAAACCAAACCAAATCCAACCCAACCCTGTCTCTGCACCTTCAGCATTTTTTATGGATGGTGCACTGTAGAAAAAGGCAGACAGTAAAAGTTTCATCCAAACTCAGTACAGACCAAATTATGTCATGCTCCCAAAGAGAACAAAAATGTGAAACAAAACAAAAATCACCCCCCCCCAGAGGTTTATAAAGAATCCACAACAAAGGGAAAAAACACTTTAAAAAAACTACAGGTTAAAGGACTTGGAGACTAATTTCCTGTGGTTATTGGTGCCTTTTCCTTCCACAGTGTATTCGCGGGTTTGTTCCTATGACTTAGCAGTATGGCTGTAGCTGGTGGTTGCTAAGTTACAAAATAAATGCATGCTGCTAAAAGTGGCACCTGCAGTGTGCACCTTTTGTACATGTCCTAGATCAAAAGTGAACTTCTACCAAGGGCTAGTAATTAAAAGCCGTCTTTTACAAGGACTGGTATTGCATACACTATAATGTGCCTTTTGGACTGCCCTAACATCAGCCCTTCTAAGGAATAACGACCAATGAATGGACCCAGAGAGCCTGGAGGAGACATACAACCTCTCCAGGAACGCTGAGAAGGTAAGCAGACATTTCCAGACCACTGCATGTCTCTGAAGCATACTCACAGGAAGAGGGCCCAGGTCATTGGGGTTTAAAGATGCTTTTGAGCGCATGTGTACTGGAAATTTCAGGCGTGGATCTTCCTGCAGGAAAAATGTACATGGCAGCTGTTAAGAGGGACTCCCCGCGCACCCTCACTGGCACCTTCCCTTCCTCCGTGTTTCCAGGCACCTGGGAGGCATCCCAGCTTTCTGCTTGGTAGAGGAAGCTTGGCTACCATGTCTCAGGAAAGAAGAACAAACACTTCAAAGAAAGATTAACTATTTCCCCAAGACTTAGCCAAGATGCAGGAGGAAAGGCAACCAGGATGGAGGATGCATGGCTGTTCCCCAGAGATGGAGACAGGGTGAGTGTTCACAGTCTCTAAATACTGACTCTTTAAGAACAGCACTCCTTAGTACTTGGGTGTCCCCAAATCTTTCTGAATTTGTCTAACCAGATAGCCCATGTGCTATTCTAGAGATGGAATGCTTCATCATATGAAATCATATGTGTGGTAGCAGGCAACCTGCATGAAACTCCTGACTGAGTTCTGATGGTTAGGTTCTCATTCATAAAACTTGATAAGATTATTTTCCTTAAAGGATGTGAGGCCATTGTATGTGTGGGGATCAATGGATGAGAAATATATACTCTGACATCTTGGGTCATGGTTTATGGTTTGCAAAAAAATAGACATCTAATCTTGCAACATCCCTTGTGTATGTTTCTTTTTGCTGAGGAGAACAGTATCAGAAACCCAGCTCCCCCAACTGACTTGCCAGAGCTGGGAGTTGCCCCTCACTTACATAGAAGCCAATTAGAATGCGATGAGGCTTAGAAAATCCACGGCTCTTACACTTGAGAGATTAGAAAACAATAAAACTCAGAATGATGCCCAGTCAACCACAACAATAACACCGTCAACCCAAGGTAAAAAGCAAACCACTGAGACATCTGACACACTAGCTCCATCTCATCAAAGTGAAAGCAGGCTGCGCTGCCGTCAAATTATCAGAAGGTTTACTGCTTCATCAATTTCCCGAACCAACGGTGAAAGCCAGGGGCACTGAATTATAACAAAGTCAGAGGGTTTTGGAAATGGCAAGAATATCAAAGAGCACAAACGGTACACGTGGCCTCGTTTTCTGAAAGCGAGAGAAGGTTTTAATTGAAGACATAAATCATCGGAGTACTTTGTGACGGATGCTGACCCTGGAGTGAATGCATCTTTCAAAAGGCTGAGATGTCGTATTCCCAGCGTAGCATACTGCGGCACACAGAATTATGCCAGGATTTAGCATTTAGAGAGGCCAAGAAGCGGACCATCGGGCTATCGGCCGGAGGTGGTTAACTGGACAGAAGACTTAAACGAACCTCACAAGATGTACTATTTAATGTTAATTCTGGTCTGGGACAGGCGATGCCACAGCTGCCCGGGACCCTTGAGATCCCAAGTAGCCAGGTTTACAGAAAGCCTAGGGAGCTATTAGGAAGTGGGGATTCTGGGTACTTTAACAGGAAAGGCCAGCCATGAGTGAAGTCAGCCGTAAAGGACGACTGGCTCTGCAGGCCACAGAGAGGTGACACAGAGAAGAAAGAGAAACTAAGATGAATGGAAGTACCCGATCCTGCGGGAGGAAAGGGAAGGGAGCAAGAACATTACAACAGCTCAGCTTTGCAGGGCGGCTAAAGCGGCTCTGCATGGAAACCAGACTTCAGAGCACGGGCAGGCCCGGGGTACGGACTCATATTTTATTGTACCAGCAATAATCAAAATAATGGCTGCAGCTGCCAGAAGTCCATCTGTAAGGGATATGTGGTAAGAACCACCGAAACCACTGTCCCTTGGACAACTCAAGGAGGTAGGCACCTCTGTAGCTGACGGACACGTGACAAGGCAGCTAAGGCCTGAGAGCACTGACAGACAATACTGAAGTAATGGTAAGGTTGGGTTACGAATGAGATCTTCGATGGTAGGAGCAGAAAGCAATCATGCAGATGATGAAATGCACTTGGCTATTCCTCCATTTCCTTTGGGAAGGGTGTGTGTGTGTTGTGTGTGTGTGTATTAGAGAGAGAGAAAGAGGGAAAGAGAGAGAGAGAGAGAATAAAAGGTATTTTCTGATTTAAAAAAAATACATAAAATACAGGCATACAAATTGGTTAAAAAAAATCCTGTATGCTTTTTTCTTTTATTCTCAGCAATCACACCTAGGCTACGGTCGGTTTTGTTAGTGCAAACGTGGGCAGCTGTAATTTAAGGCATATGGTGCGCTGTTGTGAAGCAGCTTGCTTGGTGCCCTGTCCTGTGAGAGGCATCAATACACCAACATGCATGCTTCCAGCTGTTCCCTTAATAAGAGGGGTGCGAAGGCTGAGGTCCCTAGGGACTCCCAGCATGCACTGCTGTTGGCGAGGCCAAAGCCATCCATTTTTATTAATTTTTAAAAACGTGGTCAGATTTAATTCCAATCAGACTGCTGGCACGCGGCCTCCATCACCTGCGTGTGTAAAGGCTGTGCTGTAGATACGCTTCAATCGACTCTCAGTCTCTCAGTGTACGTAACGGGGACAGTGGCCTGCGCCTTCTCATGCCCCCAGTGAAGTTCAAGAACCTACAGTACAGCGGGAAGGGTGAAGAAGGGATATTCTCACTGTTCCCAGGGTTGCTTTTCCTTTTTCTGTTAGAACACTCAGAGGGATTCTATCCAGCCATTGAGTAACCTCATAATGCCAACTGCGCATAGGCCTGAATCCAGAAAGTGTCTTTTCTGTTCCTGCCTCCTCCCATTCTTTGCCGAGGTGGACAGGCAATTCTGAATCTGCTTTTCAGGGTGACAATGCTGAATGGTGTCTCCGTCTGCATTAGTTAACACAGGCAACGAGGAATTCCCAGCTGTGGCATAAGCATTTCCAATGGCAGCAGCAATGAAACGTTCTAATAAATTAAGTGCCCAACTGGGCAAATCAATAGTAAGAATCTGGGTTAAAAAGAGATAACTGGTAATTAAGAGCAGGTTTCATTTGGCACCGGTGCCAGCAATAAATAAAGTCAGTGCTATTTAAAATGAAACCTGCCCAGCCGCACTTACTGCAGCTGGGGCGTGAAGGCTGTGAAAAGGTTAGGGGATTTGATTACTAAGCTAGTTCACATTACTAAAATCATAGCTTATGTTGGCAAGCCACAGTGGCTCCATTCACTAATCCTCTGACTTTTATGATATTTATCCCGTATCTCTGGAGCTCCAGTTTCTGGCTAAAGCTTTGGAACCCCAGTAGTGCCGCGGAAAATGGAAACACCAGAAAGACAGTCGAGGTTCTGTGTCAGTGACAAAAAATAAAAAATAAAAAGACCTCAAACCAATCTCCACGGTTCCATTTGCCAAAGAGCTCCTCTCTTCTTCCCAGCCCACAAGCTTGTAATGCTATCTTCTGACTCGAAGGTGAGTCAAACAAACCTCCACGTCATTCCATGCCTTGGAGGTAGTTATCAGCTTACCAAATGAATGTCATCAGATCTTGATGGGAAGGCTCTTGGCAGGTAAGTAAATTCCTTTTTTGCAAATCAGGGAAGGGCCCTGAGAGCGGTTCTCACTGTGGAGTATTTGGAAATTCGGCTGAGTTTCTGATCATCAGTATAGCGGGAGGGTGATGGTAGCTACTTAGTGGTGGAAGCCAAGGACGTTAAACATACCACCGAGGAAGGCGCAGGCCTACCCCAGTGGCCAAGAATGCCCTTGTGGGGACACACTGCACCACTGTCCACAGGACTTCAGGATCACACTGCCCTCTAGACCAATTCTCAAGGGATTGAATTAACATTACACCACAGACTGAGTGTAAATGATAGCCAGGCCAGGGTCACCTTGGGTGAAGCCCTTTCTTTAACATAATACTGCTGTCCCATCAGCTGGACAGTCACCACAACTAGAAACAGGAATTGAGAGTGCCCGTGTGTACAGTTGGTCCAGGACGGAAGAGCAACCCAGGGAAACACTCGCGTGAGCTCCGAGCAAGAAGATTATAGATGCCGAAAGGGCACCATTAATCCCCGAGCTTGTTCTATATGATCAGATTAGACAGGCAGGAAAACGAAGTTTCTGCTGCATCCAAACCAAGTGGACAGGGCTAGGGACTATGTGACAGAGGACTACTACTTTTAAAAAGAACTCTATGCTGCCTTAAAAGGGCTCGCTCTGACTATGCTGAAACGGAGAGCTGACTGGGGGACACGGGGGCATTCACCTGGGCTTCATCGCATTTCTCCCAACTGCGACACACTGGCTCTTTCCCACGCGGGATTTCAGAACACGTGAAAGAGCAAGCAGCATGGCAAGAGAAGTCAGTTTTGTCAAAATGTTCCCTGCGAACAGCAGTCATACACACAATCTTTTAGTCCATGGAGAAGAAAGGAAGTGTAGCCCAGGAAGAGAAAATGCTGATCTGAAATGAGCACTAGAGAGAAAATGACTCTTCTTGTAGAAGATGTGTATAGCAAAAAGAGATAGAGAAAACATTAGTTTAAGACGTTACCTAATTCCCAATACAATTACCAACAACACGGGGTGTGATAAAATGAAGTCAAAAGACTAGTAACGCCAAGGCCACCTTTGCCCCCGCAAACGGAACAAATGAATAAAACCAGAGCTTTCCAGAACTGCCAAGCTGGTACAGTACCCTAGTGGCTAACATCTGTGTCTACAGACACAGCACCCACCCATCAGGATACTTGCTTCAGAGTTGGTGAAGAAACTCCTCCACCAGAACCACGAGTACCGAGTCAGAAAAGAAAGGAATTCACCGGAGCTCATGGTGAAAATGGAGGCAAATAAAAGCAGCAGCCTTACCCAAGTTGTAGTCTTTGTGTTATGGTCAATGAAGAAGGGTCGGCCGTTTGGAGCTATCCTCATCTCCCAGCCTGGTGGCAGGAAGCTCTGTGTGACTTTGTGTTGTGGTTTGGGGGAGTTGTAAGGTGATGGCTGAGGGGACTGTGGATTGGAAAGGGTATCTTTCACAGCGCGGCGTATGGGTGAGTCCTTGGCACCCTAAGGAACAATAACGAGTGTTAGAACTCTTCACCATGTGCCAATTCAACATGCCACAATGTAGTCGGTACTGCAGGAAGCTCTTCCTTGGACAGCGACGAGGGAGAGACTCCCCCAAACCCCATTTCTCCATTTACTTTCAAACCAACCTAAGCTTACACCTTTCTCTTGGTTAGATACGCAACAGTATCAAGGATGAATAGTCACGATTCTTTGCCAAACATGCCTGCCCAAAATACCATTTTTATGGGTGGAGATTTCAGGGTGAGCAGGATGAGCTCCTGCCCTCAAACAGCCTTTTGTCTAATGGACACACTGCTGGGTTTTAGGGTCCAAAAGGACACCTCCATCGGTAGAGGCAGCCACCTGGAACGACAGCTGTCACCCCACATTCCCACCAGTCTAGAAGTGCCCTCATCCACTCTCACTGTGTAGGAGCTTGCCTCAGGATACTTTAATTTACTCATCAATTCCCTCGCTCTTCTGAGCGACATTTGTGAGGTTTAGGGATGCCACTAAAACATAACCAGGAAAGCGCACAAGCAGATGTCCAGCAATGACTTAAGAGATGAAAATACACATTAGAGACATGTACCCACACAATGGAAGACCCTACATTCAAAGAAAAAAAATGAACAAAGCAGTAACTGCGTTCTACAACTCAAGAGAAGCATTGCTACTTGGAAGAGTTATGGGTTCTGATGAGGGAGCAAACACAACAGGAATGGTACAAGACCAGCAGAGAACGGCACCCGTCACCAAGCGTGGCACCAGCCAAATGAGAATGAAGATTATGACAGAGTCTAGAATGTTAGCGGGGCAAGGCACAGAAGCATGGACGCAGTTTCAGGCCAGCCTTCACCACCAACCCGCAACTGCTCGGCATGGAGCTGCCTGAGGAATGAAGTCCAGTTTAGAGAGAATAGCAAATGAAGAGGAGCCACAGGACAGAGATGACTCTGGTTAGATGAGGCAGCCTTCTCACCTCCAGTGGGGCAGATAAAGTTACTGTTGGCGAGCTGAGGCTACGGGGCCGGCGGATCTGAGGCTCGACTAGGTGGTTGTTACTGTTTGTGGCTGATCCGGAGGCACCATCTTCTGCAAGCTATTTTGGAGGCAAAAACAGGTTAGCTTTGTATGAGGATATCCCTGTGTGTGATGAGGAGCATGAACCCCAACAACAACAACAACACACAGAGCCATAATGAAAGGTTTGGTCTATTTACAGCATGGAGGAAATAATTAAACCTAATAATGGGGGTAAAGATGGGGAGACACATTCAAGAGAAATAACAACAAATCACTGGCCAGTATAAAAACTAGCCTTGGGGAAAGAAGGGATGTGGGAGTGGGGGAAGGGAGCTATCTATGGCCATAGGCTCATTTTCTGAAAGTATCTTTGAGGTCACACTAAAATAAATGTATCTAAGGACCAAAGTCATCCTTAGGCAAATATTCATTCTACCGAGAGCAACACATGTCTTTGGTGAGAAGAGGCCTTAAACACAGGCCTTTCAGAAAAGGACATTAGCATCATCAGGTCAGGATGTTGCTGGTCAGTACATCTCGGCCCTTGAGCCTGGGTTGGATGGTGATCTTCATACCTGCATTATTGGTCGAGTCCAAGTTGTGGTTCGATTGTTATGATTGACATAGTATGTACGTCCCTTAGCATCTTTTCTTTCTTCCCAGCCTGAAGGGAGGCCCGGCGTGGTATGTACATAGGCCACTGATGGCTGTTTGTGCAAGAAATCATTATTACTTAACAACTAAAATTTGTCTTCTGACCAGTTCAACAATGTAACATATACCTAGAAAGTATATTTCTCTGGGCAAGATAAGTTAATGCTGTTTGTAGAGGAAAAATCAAAACAAAACAAAACAAAAAAACCAGACAAACAGAACCAAAACAAAGCCCATAACCCACTTACAAAGAGCAATCAGGAAGTCAGAAACAAATTGTACAGATTGTGAGATGGCTGGGATTCACATTCTTACAAAAACCGGCTCTTAGACCTGGAGGTCTTAAATACAATCACCACTAAGGTGTTTGTAGAGAAAGAGAATGTGCCATAACCTGGTCCGGTTGCTAAAGTTCATTGCTAAACCACATAGCTTGAAAGAGAATTTCAAGGTGACCAAACTCTTATGCTTGCAAGAGGAATGTTCTAGATGCTTCTAGAGAGCTGGCTACCACAGATGCTCAGCACAAAGTTCTTCCCGAGGTCCAGTGTACACAAACTTCCAGGGCAAAATGTGACAAAGAACCTTTCCTCTTTGACTTGCACTTCTGTATGGGGGACATCATCTACAGCGACCCTGTCATGTCTGTGGAGCCCCCTATTAGAGGTTCTGTTTATACCAGTGTAATGGCATAGAGTCTATCTTCCCAGGTCTGTGATGTACAGTTTGGACTATATTTGGATAGTGCAAATTCCACCTTCCTTCCTTCCTTTCTTTCTCTCTCTCTCTCTCTTTTTTTTTTGAGACTGGGTTTCACGATGTAGGCTTGGCAGGCCCAGAACTCACTACGTAAACCAGGCTATCCTTGAACTCACTGAAAGCCTGCCTCAGCCTCCCCAGTGCTGGAATTAAAGCCATGTGCTACCAAACCCAGTATGGATTTCATCTTTTCATATAAAGAATTACTGAGACTTTGGTTTGTGAAAAAAGCAGCCCGAGAAGTATAGTGTGGGTGAACGGGTATTAGAAGATACAGGATGGTGGAATGACTGACAGCAAAGGGATGCCCAGGGCCAGCACCAGCCTAGGGATGCTCAGGGCTGTCTGCACACATGGTGCTGTGCCATGCATTTGTGCTGGGGAAGCAGCGCTCTAGGGGAGAGGCTCAGAAAGACCCACCAGGGCCACTGAGACTTCTGGGAAGTAGAGGAACAGGATCCCTGTTGCTCTGAGTGCTGTCTTCCCCAGTGAGGTCTTCTCCCACCAGCCCTCTAAATACCTCAGCAGGTGCTGCTGTCTTAGAATTAGGCTGATCACATAACTGGGCCTCTTTTCTGTTCCTGACCTAGCTTCTCTGCTCACTTCTACTGCTTTGGTGAACGTCATAACCAGAGAGTCGTCAGTGGACCTGGGACCCTAAGTTAGAGGAAGCAAGAACATGTACATTGCAGTAACTAAGGACTGCAAGCAAAGAGGCTCCTTTGTTTGCTCCCCATGCTGAACAGGAGACTCCAGAAAAATTAACCTGAACACTAACTGGGAAGCAACTGACTCGTGGTTATTTCGACACCATGTTTATCAGGCAAGGAGAGAGCATGTGTAAAGAACCTTCCTGCAAAGAAATGCGGCAAACATCTTGACATTTTCCCAGGCAAACCCTAAAGGATAAGGGAATTCCAAGAACAACTAACTACACAGCATTCTGTATCCAGGAACAAGACAACGGATGTCAGGTTCTTATGACCATGAGAGACAGACCAAGTAGTCCACAGCCTAATGAGGACACTGGCAACAAAACTCTGCCTCCCTCCAAGGACTTTCACCTAGACTGGCCAAAACTCTGATGTACTGTCACCTAAGCAAATAGGTTAAAACCTATTTGGCAAAATACCCTTTGATTCACCATGACTTATATAACCAAAACTGGTTTAACTACAAGGACTATTAAATGGCACCTGTCACTTTTCTCCTTTCTTGATGAGTTATGTTCTGGGGGAGAGGCATTTTGATATGTTCTCAGAAAATTCATTTCTAGAAACATTAAGACTTTAACAAATAGCAATGACATTCCTGGAACAGATACTTCTGAACTGACAAACTGAACGACTTGGATGTTTCCTAATCTGAGAACTGAACTGCCAGCTGCAAGAACTCCCTGAGCTCAGATTTCATGCACAGATCCACAGTTAACATGACCAGTTAGTTCACAGAACCAGGAGGACAGCAGAGAGAACGCTGACTTTGTCTGTAATGATCGTTCTCCTGGGAATTGGACGGGCAACTGCTAATGTAGCCACATCTATATAAGATGCTGTTACTAAATATTTCTTGACGGTGTCCTCTCTAAATGGGCACGTATAACAACTTGTGTTGACGATTCCATTTATGACTAAAACACGGCCATCCAGGACACATGGCCAGCAATGACAAGACTCGGCTTCTCCAGACAGCTCTGTGCAAGAGGCCCAGGCGTGGGGCCAAAAGATTCTACTTTTACTACTGTATGTGAATAACAGTATGCTTCAGGGCACTTGGAGAAACATGTTAGGCAACCAAACACAAGCTGAACATTTCTGTTTATGAAATTCATCCATAGACCAAATATACTGCTGAGCCTTATGATTCCAAATAGCCATTCACTTCAATTTCACTATCTACAGTGAAGAACCAGACTATGTTTACGCTGAAAAAAATCTGACTATCTGTTGACACTTGCCATCATAGATTCTCCATGACTCACCCAGACCCTGCCATAGTGGTATTTCAGGATATTTTTAGAATCTCTTCAGAGAAGATCAAAGGACTCTCTCGCTTTCTGTTGGAAAGGGAGAGCCCTGGTGGAGCCTGCAGGAAAGTGACTCTGGGTCTACAGGCTTCTGCCATAAATCAAAGGGCCACGATTCCTTGGATGAGGCTCCGTGCTTCATCACAGTGTAGGGAGAGGGTTTACAGAGAAGGATGGCTACCACAACACACCGGAGATGGGAATGCCCTCCAACAAAAGAAGAGTGTAGAAACTGTAGCACACTTCCATCACCGAATACTAAATGACTAATAACAGAGCCCAGAAAAATCAATGTAAGTTAAAAACAGTTCGCTGAGCATGATGTACGCAACATCGTACTGGTGCTTCCCTCCTAAACACAACGAAACAGAGCTGTGCGCGTAACTGCAGCACATGCACGCTTGGGAGAGTACAGGGAGGAGTGAGGTGACACATTACAGGGCGTGTCTGCCTGGCACACGCATCAAAGAGGCGGTCAGAGAAAAAAACATGCTAGGAGACAGAACAGGACATAGAGGGGATGGAAGGGAAATGGACTCGGTCCTTTCACACTCATCCAGGTCCTGAGAAAGCCAGGCACATCAGGGTGGGAGAATCACTTAGCAACTTCCATTGCAAAGTCTTAAACAAAAGACCAAACCCAACCCATGTTTTAATTCACGGATGGAGGAGAACACAGGCAAGAAAAGTGCAGCCCAGAGTGACGTGGGCTTTCCTTCTGATGGATGACCTTGTTCTGTCAGGAATATTTTTACCATAGTGTCTGGCACCACTCTGTTACTTGCTATCATTAGCCATCCCAACACTCTGAAGCTTTAAGCAGGTCACGAATCCAACTGAACGTAAAAACAGCTGCTTCATTACAAAGGGATGTTTATAGGTATCACGAAACAAAACCATACCATGGAATGGTCTGCCCTGCAGCCCCACTTTCTCAGAGAAACTACCAGCACATAGTAGAAAATCAACTACTCCGTGTAAACTTCTTTGAATCCTGCTGGAGGTGGGGAGCCTGGATCTCCAGTACATGCATATTATGTAGGCCACAGTGGCTTAGCAACCTTACACTGTGCTTGCTGCACTGATGGCCAATGTGAGTTTCCTTTGTGTAACATGGAGGGCTAAACATGCTTCAGGAAATCGGCTATTGTGTATATAGTTAAAGTCATTCATCACGAGTAAGTAGCCACAGTGTATGTGACAAGGGTGGAATACTAAAGGAAGTTCTTCAAATGGTCATCTAAGCTCAAATCATCAAATACGGGCCTGCCTGACTGCAAGGATCAAGTAGAACACAAGGAAAATAACTACTCAAATTGAAGTCACATACAAGCATAAATACTACCAATCAAAATAAGGAAATAATAATAACAATATTAGATACTTGCATTGAAATATTCTAATTGCTTCCTGCCCTGGAAATGTAAAAACACTTGTCCGTTCCTGCGAGTCAAACTCCTTGTGGCAGAAAGAGGTTACTGGTTATGATGGAGATACAGAAAAAATATGGCCCCCTATTAAAAAATGTGGTATGGAGAACAGAGAAGAGCGCACAGCCTCTTGCACATCTGGACACATGCACAGCCCTGGATGATTCCTGTGGCTTCTCTAGCTACCGACAAAGCTGTATTTGAAATGCTTGGATTAAGCACATGTAACCAGGCTCGACAATACTTTTAATAGGATTAAAAACTGATTCCATTTTATCCAGGACCTTTGAAGAATTCAAAATGATAAGTTGAAGATAAGAAACACATATGTCTTTGTACCCACATAGAAACTGACCTTATTTGATAATGGGAGGAAACATATCCACCATAACCAACATACTAAACTACCCCACAGTCCTTCACCATTAGGGTCCCATAACTTGTGTTATTACCGTTGGTTCCTCACCACCCGTGACAGTTGATGAACGCGCTCGCCTAGTTGGGGTGCTGGGCTGTTAAACAATAATGTATATCAGTAACTTGTATTTGGGGGAACCATCTACTGCTTAGTGAAGCAGGAATCACTCTGTGGCGATGCTGTGGCAGATGACGTGAGATCAGGAACCCCAATTATCCACCTTGTCCAAATGAAGCTGAGCACACACCAATGACCAGCAGCAAAAATAGAGCATAATAACACGGGCCCTCTCTGGACCACCATATCACCCCAAAGACGCTCAGGCTGCATCCTCACTAGGGGTGACCAGCAACCACTTCAAGTGGGAGATTTTGTGCTCCACAGTCCAGATCTTAGATTCTTTATCTGCAAATCTCTGAGAGGCCACTGGTGGTCAGTGAGCGCACGGCACCTTCTGGACATGGAGAGAAGGTGGAATCACAGTCTCCATGGCAAACAAAATTGACACTGATTGTGAAGAGGAGAGCAAGTGCAATTAATTTCTACCAGAAAAATCACAGAATCACTAGTGTGAGAAGGGCCCCCACCGCTTCATCCCAGTGTATGGTTCTGCTTTGGGAGGTCTGCACTGAATCCACCTCAGCTTGTTATTAGCCAGCCTTCACGGTGGACTCCACCACTGAATTTCTGATTTTGACTGGCATACACCATCACTTCATTTAGGCAAAAATGTCCTTTGACGTCAGGTTAAAATGTTTATGACGAGGAAGATGGTTTCAAAAATTTCAAATCTGTGGCCTGTCTTCAAGTTCATACACAATGAAGCAGGTCATTAAAGAGGATTTGTAGCAATAAAAAAAAGGGGGCAGGCGGCTCATGCCTGTAATCTCAGCACTCAGGAGGGGAAAGCAGGAGATTGTCGCAAGCCCAAAGCTAGCCTGGAGTATACAATTAGAGTTCCAGGCTGGACCGAGCTATAGATCGAGACTCTGTCTTAACTCCCACTTCCCCCACAAACCCACAAAAACCAAACAAATAAAAGGCCAACGTCAAATATCAAATTGAACATTTAAAATAACTGCAGAAAATTTTCACCTCCCAAAGAAGAAAAACATTTTTTTTTTTGTCAATTCGTTCTTACTAGGCAATTCTCATCTGCCCACCAATTTGATATTTAGTATATTATTGGAATGGAAAACCCCTCTACCACGTGATGGGCACTCAGACTTATCACAGCCATAGGAAGGAAGGGGCAAATGGCAGCTGATATTTCATTCATGGGGTTGCCTTTGTAGTTAGCACAGGCACTCTGGGTAGTGGTAAAATTTAGGCTGTTTTGCTGGAAGAGTTCTTCCTGATCAATGAGTCTGCAGAGTTCAGATACCAGGACCAGAGCTATAGCTGTTGAATGGACCACGTAGTTTCAGTAATATAAGCACGTCAGAAATGCATTCTTTGCAGTGAGAAACCAAAGCACGTTTTTAGCAGTTTAGAAATGTGGTTGGCAGTTAGGATTCTGGGCTGGGAAGTCGAGATCCTTGCACAATTTACCCAGAAAGTTTCAAATGTCCTGCTTTATACGGTGAATGGATCTACACAGGAAAAACTCTTTCTCAGCAGCCCTGACGATTCTGAATCAAAGCCGGAAAAAAAAAAAAAAAAAGCTGAGGACTGGAAACGAGTGTTTATTACCGGTGGTAGGTGAGCCTGCTCAGCAACCGTGTCGGTAACACTGCAGGACCGAAGCCTCGACGAGGGCTCTCTCTGCTGCAGGGAAGGAAAAGACAGGCGGGGTTAAAGGGGATATCCTGCACAGCTCTCTAACACCAGGAGGCAATCAAGCACCACTTCTTTCAGAACAAGGACAGGAGTCCTTGCGGATCTCTATTTCAAGTCTCTGTTTCCCCACAGACCAGGACTACTGGAAGGGAAAAAGAGACAGGTCCCCACAACATTCAAGAGTAACAAGAGGTCAGCAGTCCTGTACACTGCCTGGGATGCCAGCTCCGGGCAAACTCTCAAGTGTGACGAACAGAGGAAAAGAGGGACCAAAAGGTGACACATGGCCCTTGACCAGCTACTCGCACCGTTCACAGTGAGGTCGCTGCACTGCCGAGCCGGCTGCATTCAGACATCATCCCCTCCTTCCTGCGATAGGCAGGGCTTTATATTTAACTTCCAAGTGGAACTTCTGTACAGACCACAAGTGGAGCAGAGGGGGAGGCAAATCCAAAGACCGTCTTGTGCGTCACACAGAAGGCTCCTCTCACTAATTTGAATTCTTGGTGGTTAAACAAAGCCTCGTCAATCTGAATGATGATACTCGAAGGTCACAGACAGAAGTCACAGATTCCTTACCAGTGACGCTTATCCCACGGTACAGCTTGTAGCACATGTGGCTTTTACTATTTTAAAATAACGCCCAGGAAGTTAAAGGCAGCGGAGCTCTGTGGTGGTAACAGGGACAACGCCCACCTTCCCACACTGGGCAGTGTCAAGGAGTCGTTCCTGAGCAAAATGTTAGACCCACTGCCCTGAAGACACAGCGGTCTCAAGCATCAAAATCAGAGGAAGCTCCCTAAGGATGTGCTATCACACCTGGGTCTTAATATGCCATGCTTCTGGAAATGCTAAACGCAAGAGCTCCCTGCTCTAACTGTGACAAATGCTAATTTACGTCAACAGAGAAAACTAGGAGCTTTTCCCACATGGTTTATATAAATGGTATATAGCTGCTATAATTTCAGCAATTCTTTCTTTGATACATTTTAAATACATGGCTTGGTGGCTTAGGCTGTTTCCATAGCAACACTTTTACCCAGTCAAATATCTTATATATGCAACCTCTTTTCTATCCACTTAGATTTTCATCTCAGTGCTATTTCTCTTTTGGAAAAACATTCATAGAATTTTAATGCGAAAGCACATCAAGAAGAAATCCCTGTGACTCATGTGACAGGGGCCGGCAGTTTCTTTTAGAAGGAGAACCCCGCCATGAAAGGGCTCATAATCGTGTACGCAGTGGCTTGTACGCTTTGCGTGGCCCTTCTGCTGTTTACATTCAGAATGCTCATAAGAACGACTATCATATGAGAATGCCATTCCAACACAGAAACTATCATCATTTTCTCCAGGACATCTATATAAGTCCAGCTGCCAGAGAAACATGGTGTATGCATTTGGTCTTAATCACACACACACACACACACACACACACACACACAGCACACCACACACACACGAATGGTCTGTGGGCTTTTCCTGTAGTCTTGCACTATCAACTGCAAAGTTCCTTGTGACCAATTTCATTCCTTCTCACTGACCCGAGACTTCTGCAAAGTATTTCTCTGATGGCTGAGATGAACCCCAAGTTCAAGTGCTACTGTGATGTCCGGGCCACAGTTTCATACTTTTTCTCCTCCAGAGTTCCTAGATTGGGTTTCTGGGTATCTTCTACAGCCTAGTCAGGCTTTCCCAGGGGCAACCGCTTACACGTCTGGCCCTACTTATTTGTGAGCTAGGACGCAAAGGTGTGTGGACTATGAGTTTAGAAGATTGGCTGGGAGGCTCTAGGGCTCCCGCTTCTCAACAGGACAACTGCCCTCAGGACGAAGACACTACTTTCACGAGCCTTGTGAATGGGAAAGAAATTCTACAAGGTTAAAGCTAGAACTCACAGAATAAATAATAAAAAGAGCTGTTGATAAACCACTTCTTTCTAAACAAAAAGATTTTTACCTGCCAGGGTAAATTTTCATATAGACCCGCCTCTCTTAGGGAAGGGGAATCTTGGGAGAACCTGGGCTGAATGGGTATGGAAGACCCACTGGCCAGTGGTTCTCAGCCTTCCTAACGCCATGACCCTTTAATACAGTTCCTCATGTGACCCCCCAACCATAAAGTTATTTCATTGCTACTTCATAACTGTAACTCTGCTGCTGTTATGAACTGTAATGTAAATACCTGATATGCAGGATGATCTTAGGTGACCCCTGTGAAAGGACCATTTGACCTCAAAGGGGCCACAACCCCCAAGTTGAGAACCACTGCCCACTGCCCTTGCCATTATCAGAATACAAGAGTCTCCTAACGCAACAACAAAGGACCGACTACCGCTCAGCTTTTCTAACAAGACCATGACTTACGATCAGAGAACTGAACTGTTCCCCATTGGTGTCTGGAGCGATCTGTAACCTTCTGCTCAGTTCCTCCGACAGCTCTTGGGGGCTGGTCCGAGACACTGGGGAGGCAGGAGGTGGGGGCAGAGCCAGGCTAAGAGAGTCTCCCGCCATGTTCACTTCCTCTGAAATGGTCTCCCAAGGCTTTGGAGGAAAGAGAAAGTAGATTAAGTGCTAGGAATTGGGGATTTAGCGGTCTTCCCTCCAGTAAAGCACACAACATCCACAACCATCAGGATAACGGCAATTAATACCGTTATTAATTAATTAACAGCAAGGGGCACAGGATCTTTAGGAATAAGCATGGGGAAGACAGAACCACTGTCCCAATCAGCAGACAGGAAAACTTAGCTGAGAGAGCAAACTGCTGACGTACGCAATTAACTGGGGGTGTGACCAGGTGTGAAGGAGCGGGCCCAGGGGCCATGATCTCACCCCTTAGGGGTACACACTTCACAGCGCAGCTCTCTGCCAGCCTCTATTACAAATGGATTAGAAACGCCCCAAGAATTTACAAGCAATTTTCATGTTTTTTTTTTTTCTCTTTCCTTTCTAGCCGCTGTGGGATTTCTTAATGAAAACAGCTGAGATGCTGCAGAACGGTTCGGGAATCTCCTGTGGCATCACTAACTTACTGCCCTAATATGGGCCGCTGCCAAGTTTCATGAATGACTTCCCAACATACGGTCAACACAACGACCAGTGTCATCGGCATCGGGTTAGAATTATTTCTCATTTGTCGCTTAATTCGTCTCCTTTCCCAGTAAATTCCTACTAACTCAAACTTGCACATTTTTTGGTAACCTCTCCTAAGGTGGTACACAGTTATTGGAAACTCATCCGTGATACCCGAACAAGTGTCAGAGCTCACTCGATTCCTCAAAAATGGCAACCTTCGTGTTGTTTCGTGAGATTGGTTAGATCCTGGGATAAACCAGTCATTAAGTAGAAACATGGAAGACTTTCATACGAGAAAAAAATGTTCTCCCTTTGATATTTATACAAGCCTTGGCTGAACATGGGGTCCACACGCATTTTCCAAGTTAACTAACACTCAGATGGGGATCAATTAGTTATGAGGTCACAATCTTCACACTCAATCCACAGTTTACTGAGAGGAGAAAATGGGATACAAAATCCCCCTGGGGCTCGTGGGAAGATGGAGCTGCTCAGCTGCCAGCATCATACCTCAGGGCCCTCTCCACCGCCTTCCGAGGCCTCAGGCTCCAAGTCTTCACTGATGTGCCTCCGCGAGCGGAAACGCCGGTGTGCGGCCTCCTGGTTGATCTGCCTGATGTTATTGTCTGACTCGGAGGACACATCCCTGAAAGGAGGGTGGGGTGAGGGGATGAGAAGAGGTGTTCACAGCTAGCCCACCAACAGTCCCTTCCTCCCTGTGGGCCACACACTGACTAAGATGTCAGTGTCAAACACCAGCAAGGAGCATGCGACCATGATCTCGCTCAACCACACTGCAGGCTCACTCTGACCTCACGGAAGCAGCCTCAGTGCCCTGAACAAGAGTGACAGCGGCACCTGGGCATCGTTCAGACATGGACAGCCATCCCTCTGCATCCACGGGGAACGACTGCAGAGCCTTCCCTATCCCCACGGATTCTAAAATCCTACAAGTTCAGCCCCTAACAAAGAATGACACTACTTGCCCAGAACTCACGTACAACTTCCTGTATACTTTAAATCCCCTCTAGATGACGTACAATGCCTCAGACAATGAAAAGGCTACAAAAATTGTGTAGGGAACGAAGACAGAGACAAATGGCCGCCTGGGGTGAGCACAGGCCTAATATATTTTCCTGAATACTTTGACTGAAGCTTGAGTACAGAGGCATGGCTATTCCTCACACTGCACTCTAGGATTTAAGAGAGAAGAGAAGTCTAAGTCCTTCAGTCTGCGGTAAGTCAGGCTGCTGGAAGGAAGTGACAAGCAAGCCCACACATGCTCACACATGCAGCCTGTCAGCAGGTCCCCTCTAGGTCCAGCCAGCAGTGACAAAACAGCTAATTCGGGTAATCGGTAATGACTGAAGGCTGCCAACAGCACCAATTCAAGGCTGAAGTCCCAAGGGGAGGACTCCTGGGTTGTGTGACTTACTTTTAAATGCTTTCTGTCTTGTTTTGGCAAAAACCTCACATCACAATATTGCAGCCTCCTTCCCCAACAACCCCCTCTAATAATCCAAATGAACACCAGGGGCCGACCTCCCAAATACACTTGGGACTTGAAGAACATGGCGCCGTCACACCCGAGCTGTTTGTTTTGCCACGTAAGGTCCTTAAGTCCGGATCTGCGTTGAAGAACTTATTCTTGAAAACAACCCAGTCGACAGCACCCTAAAATACTTTGCAGCACATAACAGGCGATGGTCCTTTGGGGGAAACCATCAGCTAGATGTTGCTGGAGTGGAAGTCTGAACACCCGCCAGAGGCACCTGCACATGCTCAGTCCGACTCCATATCGAATCAGCACAAATTATATTTCAGGTTAATGTTCCAGAATAACTGAGAATTTTAGTTCAGCTGAATTGAAACACAGTATTAATCAATAGTCTACTTATAGAGTCTTTCTAAAAGAAAGGATTTAGAATTTCTAGTACTTCCAAACTCACTCACAACCCCCAGAAAGAGCCAACTGGATTTCAGAATAGCAACTATTCAAAGAGCAACAATGTAGGAAGATGTCACAACATCCTAAATAAGCAAAATGTTTCCTTTTATTTTTTTTATTTTTATTTTTATAATATTTTGCAACAGGGTTTCTCTGTGTAGCCTTGGCTGTCCTGGAACTCACTCTGCAGACCAGGCTGGCCTCGAACTCATAGAAAATCACCTGCTTCTGTCACCCTAGTGCTGGGATTAAAGGCATGTGCCACTACTGTCTGGCTTACTCAAATGTTTGTTATCAAACATCTTTACACTATTAACTTTAGGGCTAAAAAAAGTAGTGTGGAAGTTAGTTTCTATTTAGTTCACATGCAAATTATAATTCTTTATTACTAAAATATGAATTAAAGGAATTTTATATTTGTATATATAATACATAAATTTGCTGCTATTACAACATATATTGTTGTATTAAATACGTAATTAGAATAAACTTGTACACTAAATAGAGGCATCTTCAGAAAACTGATATTATCATAGATGCAATTATTATAATCAAGGAATACAAAAGTGTAGTAATGTTTCTGAAAACATAAAAGATTAAAGATGTTACTGCTGGCTTTTAGATATATTGTATCTGTGATGATGTATTTATTGTCCTCGTGTTTTAAAATGTTCAACTCTCAAGCATGAAATAAAGTACAAAACAGAAATGTAAAATGTTACAGCACATTTGTAAATGACCTCAGCAGGGAAGCAGCCAGAGGAAGCTAAGGAGTGCCTGCCTGCTTTACTATCTTCTTAAATTTCTTTTTCCTTTCCTTTCCTTTCCTTTCCTTTCCTTTCCTTTCCTTTCCTATCCTTTCCTATCCTTTCCTATCCTATCCTATCCTATCCTATCCTATCAGGCAGGGTCTTTCTCTGAAGACCAGGCTGGCCTTGAACTCGCAGAGATCCGCCTGCCTCTGCCTCCCTGACTAATGGTGTACCGCTGCACCTGACCCTCTCTTGGTGACTAAGGGTGAACACAGTTGCTCCTTATGATGATTTTCCTCAGTTGAAAACTCCTGACTCCATGTGCACTCTCTCAAGACTGAAAGTCCTCCTTCAAATTCAGTCCCCAGGTACTCCAGAGGGACTACAGGGGCTCCACAAACCTGGGTAAAACAAGGGTCACAGTGCCTGGGGGTGGAGTGATGACTTGTCTGTATCTCACACCCTCTAAAGTATATGATGTCTCCTATTGCACAACTGGTGTGTGTGTGTGTGTGCGTGCGTGTGTGTGTGTGCGTGCATGTGTGTGCGTGTGTGTGCGTGTGTGTGCGTGTGTGTGCGCGCGTGTGTGTGTAGAATGCTCTATTTAAAATCAGTGATGTCAATTTCCCATCCCCAACTTGCTCAGCTAATCAGCAATTGGTCTGAATGGTAGCTGGAGGGATGAAAAAGGGAGCAGGAGGCTGGATAGCCCAGGAATGCGCTCTCTGCTCCCTGGCAGCTTTGAAGCCCTGTTCCCACTGCCATGAGAGACTCATTTGTCTCAGCTTAAAGCAATGGATCGATCCATTCCCTCCCTGGCTATGAACTTTTGAAACTGTGAACCGAAATAAAACCCTTACTCCCATAATTTATCTTAGGTATCTGGTCACAGCAATATCAAACAGGCTTTTCTCGTCTTAGGTAATAATATGAAGAATTTGCACAGGGTGCGAGCGTGTGTGTGTGTGTGTGTGTGTGTGTGTGTGTGTTTCCTTCGCCTTTAAATGAGTGAAAGAGCTGTTGACTGCCTACAAGGTTCTACAAGTACCTGCAGCTACCAGTTAGCCTGATAAACCTAGATGCAAAGATGATTTTACCAGGAACAGGGAAACAATGTGAGAAATGCCTACGTCATCTTTTCTTTTTTTTCCAGTCGTTAATTTTGCACACACAGTTCCCTTTGAATATCATGGGAAGTGACAGGAATAGCAAGACTTTACCACTTTACCAATCCTTCCTTGAAACTAGCTCAGTTACTAAGATTAAAGCCTCAGACCACGCCCAGCCCCCAAGCATTTGCTTTCTTTTAATAAATTATATTTCTTACTATTACGTACACATATGTGTAGAGGTCAGAGGGCAACCTTGGAAATAGGTTCTCTCCCCCCACTGTGGATTTTGGGGGTTGAACTTAGGTCCCCAGGCTTGTGAGGCAAAGGCTTTTGACCCTTTGGGCCATCTTGCCCTCCCCTTTGCCTCAATGCATATGACTGTTAAGGATGACCCAAACCACAGAGCTAAGCCTGGTTGCTAGGGAACTGGGAGATGATGCATTGAGTATTTTATAATCAACAGCTTAAAACAAGTATTTCAACTCAAGTTTATCTTACAAATGGTACTTGTCATTTTTGTAGTAAAATATAGTTTACTTCCAAACAGGATTAAGAATAAATCTAAAATGGGGTGTTTTAAAAGTTACTAGAATTGAGAAGGTGGGGTGACTTCAAGGGACACCTTCTGTTTTGTAGGTATTAGGAGAGGCCTGAACCAGGCCCAGACAGTACCCCAAACCATGTGCCTAAAATCCCTTCCTGAAATGGCTCCTTTGGCCATTCATCTAACACCATGCTGCACTCTTTCTCCCGTGCTGGGCATGAGGGCCTCTGAGGGAGAAGTCCCAGTCCCAGAATTTTCCTATTCATCCACCTCAAAGGCAGCTCACACCTGAAATCCTAGCACGGGGGAGCACCCTGGGCTACACAGTGAGAGCCTGGCAGAGAAAAAACAACAAACACACACCCAACCCAACACACAGAGAACACAGGCTGCTGAGCTGGTAGATGGGGGGGCTGGCAGCGGACATTCACTTGTCGGGAGGGGCCTGCTCTGTCTCCCAGCTCTTTTTTGCTTTGGGGAAGGGACATGAGCCACAGGAGCTGGCTGCAGAGAAAGCAAGCAGAAAGCAGCTGTGATGAGACTCCTGGGCACTCTGCATGTTTAACCGAGGGACATTTGTCAAGAAACGGAGATGCAGAATTGCCTCCAGAGTGTCCTAAGGGCAAGTCAGGGACAAAACAAACCCTGCCAAGTTCAGAGGGTTCAACTTTGGGGTGCCTGTCTCTTCATGTCTACCCACTGAGGCCGTGAATTCTTCGTTGACTTAGGACCTGATTGATCACTATCCAATGTTCTCAGATATAATTTCTTAATTAAGGTATTTTCTCACAATATAATTTTTTCTCTGAAGAGTGCAAGAACAGTCTATAAAAATTGAGTTACAAAAAAAAAATAAAACTAAAAGCAAAAGATAATTTCTCTGGAGGTCCTAGAACTTCTGGCCAAGACAAACATGTTAAGGAGCAATAATTCCAAATGCATAAACTGCAGATGGGATAGAGGGGATGCAGTGGAAACTGACTTCTGCCAATCACAGTTTTCTGGCTTTTGAGATGAGATGTGTTTCACAACGTAAGAAGTCATGCTTACATAACTGATACACCTTGATCGATTTAAGTACACACTTATGAAACGACCACCGTGTTGCAAAGATGATATACTCTAAACACACATCCTGTGCTGTCTCGGCTGTCACCTCACTAACAACTGCACCCAGCTTTCCCCTCAAATAAAGACTTCCCCCTGCGTGGTAGTGATCAACAAAGGTGGACAATCCCAACTGTGTGTCAGCCACTAACATTTCCTCCTGGTCCTGTTCTGCAGGGGTTGTGCGAGGCTCTGATCACCACATTAGCCCCCTTGTGTGTTCTCCTCTCCTGTGCTGTTTAGCTTAGTTGGATGATGCCTCTTTTTTTAATGGTAAGATACTATGCCTGAGGTAGGTTCAAGGACCTACAGATAGATACAGCACTTAAAGAGCTTAGTAAACTTCTAAGTATTGTGAGATCATTAATGAAAGACAAACAGCAGTAAATAAAGATATAGTATCAACAAAATCACATATATTTAAGACCCTAGCATCATCATGATATGTGTTTTGTCTAAACAGTAAGATGAGCCCAGACTGGGTAATGCAGAGTGACCAAGAACAGCTGGTAGACCCAAGCACCTACAGAGGGAAGACCAGGGATGACTACCTAGTCACTGCTCCAGACTCTGTAAGCTTTCCCCCAAACCACATACAATGTCAGCCAGCGGACTTGGCCCACCCTCTCTAACCACTCCCCCAATTATATGGCGAATACCTTCAAAATTTCTAAGGATAAAGGATTTGTAAGAGCAGTTTCCAGCATCTCTGGATATCACCTGCCTAAGAAGCATCACTGGGAAATCTCTTTCTGTTTGGGTTGGAGAGAATATGATCTGACGAGTCAGTACACTCACTTGCCTTTGTTGCATTTTGAAAAGTGACCACTTGTAATATCTACTTTGTAATATGAATGATGCTATCTTGGCTGCTGGCAAGCTTGTAATATCTAAGGTAACTTCCGCTTTTCCCGCCGGGACTGTACTTTGGCTCTGCCTCTTACTGCACATTGATAAATTTAAGTTTTGCTACGATGATTCAACAAAAAATCTACTTTAAAATCTTTCTTAAAGGCAGTAATTGAGGTTTAACTAGGATTTATGTGCTATCATCAGAACAAAAATTACTAAGGGAACAGGCATCATCTGCCTTGCTTTCTCCCTAAGCTAGTAGGATGTTGAAATAAACAGTAATTACTAATTTTGACTTTGCAAATCTTCTTTGCATTTCTAAATATACCAAGGCAGTAATACATAAATTTTCTGAAAAGTAAACAAAATAAAAATAAAAGAAGCCTTTGTGGCTTCCTAAATCAAGTAACTGTAAAAGACTAAGAATGCAAAACATAAAGGAAAATGGCAAAGACAATCACTCTGCCTCCTGTTTCCCATCCTGGGTCAGCCCGGAGAGGAAGCTGAAGAAGACGGAAGCAAGGTGATCGCTGAGCCAAAGTAGACTCCAGGAAGAGCACATTTCAGTAATCCTACAAGAGGCATAGAAGAAAAACTCCAACCGCATTGCAAAAGGCAACCTGGCACAGGGCAGCAGCCTTTCCCTGCATGCACGCTTGCACGCATGCACACACACATGCACATGCTCACTCACTAGCTCCCAAACCTGCCCTGGAACTGCCACCCTCTGCTGTGCGGGGCGTGACAGAGCATCCCTGCCATCTGGCGGTACTTACATCAAGCTGGGCCGGTGCCACTGGGTACTCCTATTGTTGTGGTTGACATAGTAAGTACGGCCTAAATTGTCCACTTTCTCTTCCCATCCTGGTGGCAGGGGAGGAGGAGGGAGCTCCTCCTGGTGCTGGGAAGCTGAGTCGTTGGAGTCAACAACCTCCCATCCGTGCTGTGGAGTAAAGTGAATGGGAGGGTCGTGAGTCTGGGCTCCAGATCACAGGAGCAGGCCACCCCAGCGTGACACCCTTCTGCCTCACCCGGCCTCACTCTGGGTCTTACAATGGTTTCCTGGCTCGTGCTGAGATAGATGCTCCCTCAAAGGGAGAAAAACCAATTCAGGGTTTCAACACTCATCTGAGCAATGGCCAGTTGATCATGCCAGCTTCTAAGATGACTGCATCGCAGGGGGCCACCAGGTCTGGAGACTTCATTTACTTTCTTTTCATTTCTTAAACATTCATTTATTTGAGTGTGTACGTTTATACGTAAGCTCACGTGTGCCTACATGGCACATGTATACAGGTCAGAGGACAACTGGCACAAGTCAGCTCTTTTCTCTCCTACCATGTGAATCCCATGGATCAAACCAGTGTGGCAGAAGGCACCCTAACCTGTCACGCCATCTCGCCAGCCCTGTTTAGTTTCTAAGCCACATCACAAAATCGTACATTTGTAGGGATAAGTCCCGCCCCTTGGGGGGCGTGTTCGCCTCGGGCTAATGTTTGCCTATAAATTTGGCGAGCGTGCTCCCAGCCCTCCCTTCTGCTTTCCTGGTCTCCACGGGAACGGTGGTTCTGTAAGTCTATTTCGCCATTAAAGCTGTATATATATTTTTACAATCTGTCTGCATTCGTTTACGCCCTTACGTACATTTCCAGTAGTTGCTTTGACTCGACAACCTCTAGGGCTGCACAAAGCCAACGGCACGGGACATGCCGGAGCTGTCACGGCCACCCTCCTTTCAACACCACCATGATGCATGCATGTGTGGTCTACAGAAAGCAGGGCACAGGTTACAGGTATAGGGACAGGGCTATTGGTCCCCAGCGAGGATGGCCTGGGGCTGGCGTGACCGGAGATGAAGCCTCTCCCTTGTCTGTTACAATGGTGAGCCAGGAGTTGTCTAGAAACTGATGCCGTTGCTTCGGCACTGCCTGAACAGACTGCACGGGGCCAGGACCAGAGTTGAACTGTTCCGACACATACCTTCGGCATTAAGTATTGCTTTCCTAACATCCCCCGGTAAAGCCAGCGGAAAATCAACCGATCCACTGGTGACTGCAGTCGGAAGATGAGAAGAGTCTTAAAAAAAATTCCTCGGATTTCACACAGCAATCTGCTGCTTTGCTTGGGAAATCTCAAACTCCACTACGGCCTGCCACCCACCCTGTCACGTGGCGGTAGCTGTGGAAGTCTAGAGTGAAACTCTGCCTGGAGATGTGGCCTCTTGGTGGGAGGGAGTTTGGTCAGCTTGTCCGCCACCTATCATTCAAGTACCACACATGTGGGACAGCTGCAAACAGACGTGAGAACAGCCAGGGAGGCCTCGTTCAGTGAGAGCGTTCTGAACAAGATGAGAGTTGTTAACAGGACAGTGTTGAACACAGTGTGTGCTGAGATGGTACAGTGCGATCCCCAGCGCAGGCATGGGACCAGAAAGCGAAGAGCCCGCTCCGCCAGGAAGAGGACAGGGCAGAACACTCTTCTGGATGGCTAACTGCAAAATGGCATTTCCCAAGGACAGCTTTGCAGTACATACTGTTACCCAAGGACCAAATGAACCAGAAATGGGGAGACAGCTTTTAAGTCAATCCCCATCCACTTTGGAGCAAGCTCAAGTGCTAAGAGGAACCCCAAAATAACTGAAAGCCCAAAGCAATAATGTTTTTGTTCTTGTTTTTCCTGGCAGTGGGGCCATCCACAGTAGATGCCTTAAGCCGCTATGAAGAGTCTCCCTTAGGCTCGTGTGTGGACACTTGGTCCTCTGCTGGCGATGGTGCCTGGAAAGGTTGCTGAACCTTCAGAAGGTGGAGTCTTGTGGAAGGGAGTGGGTCCTTGAGGGTGGGCCTTGTGGATTTACAGCAGAACCCTGTTCTGTGTACTTTCCATCTTCCGACTGTGATACAATATGACCAGCTGCTCCACATTCCTACCGCCACAGCGAACCTCCCTGGCCTGAAATGTGAGCCTTTCTTCCGTAACTGGCTGCGGGTGGGTATCTTAACAGCAGCCAGAAGAGAAAACCAATACAACTGTACGAAGCGCTGCTCTTCCTATTATTAGAGTCGTGACATAGAATGAGAATTGCACTTTGGCTAAAACAATCTCACAGCGGAGACTTTCAAAGACAAGCGCGGGGGTATGTGTGTATGTGTTTGTATTTATGTTTACAAACATTCACTCCCTTCAGCGAGTCTCAGAGTGTAACGAGAGTGAGGTGAGCAGCCGGGAGACAGGCCAGACCCCGCAGCTGACCCTCATACCTCCATGTCGTCCCTCTGCTCGCTGTTTTCTTCATCCTGACCTCCGTTTTTCGGCATGTACGCCATTTTCAACCGCAAAAAACCCTTGACTCGCGATTTATGGCTGCACACAAGGAAGAAAACCAGTTAGAAAGACTATGGCTTGTTTCCATCTTTCTTGTTTAAGGTGTTGGCTGAAACTGTCCTCAGAGAACCCAGCCCTGCATCACTCACTCCCACATCCACCCGCAAGCCCCACCTTCTTGGTCGCAGGAGAAAGTCCTTAAATGTATAGGGTCTCTCCATGGTTGGATCTTCTGTCTAAGGGAAGAAAAAAAAAAACAAATTAACAAAGAAGCAGCACTTATAAAAATTTCTCATTTTGACACATTCATCAGGACTATGGAGGATATAATTTTAGGACATGCCAGGGGTTAAAGAGGAGCTGGCTTCTCAACAGCTGGATGATTAATTAAGCATCTGCAAGGCCCACAGAGGCCTGACTCCTTGAGCCCCACTAGATGTCACTATCTCCAGCAGCTTCTAGTAGTCAAGCCCAGCCAGAGACAAATGACAAAATTATAGCCACCACTGCCAAGTCTAATCTCTAACTGCAGGGTGTAGCCTCAACCTCCCAGAGTCGATTAACTTCGGAAAACCAGCGGTCACTCGAGCCTCATTATCCCGTGACTCAGGACACCTAAATTCAGAGTTAACCAGGGAGCCTCTACCGACACTGGGCTTATGTCAAGAAGCGGGGAGTGAAACTGGACTGTGTTCCTTATTTTGTCAACTTGGCACCAACTAAAATCACCTGGAAGGAGGAAACCCCAACCGAGGAATTACCTCTGCGAGATCGGCTTTTTGGCATGTCTCCCTGATAGTTCTCTGATTAAAGATTGCTGAGGGCCCAGGTCACTGTGAGAAGCGCTACCCCTAGGCAGGTGGCCCTGGGTTATATAGGAAAGCAGGATTAGCAGCTTCCTCTATGGTCTCTGCTTCAGTTCCTGCCTACTGGTTCCTGTCCTGAGCTCCTGCCCTGGCTTCCCACCACCTTTCCCTCCCCAAATAGCTTCTGGTCCCAGCAACAGAAAAGCAATCAAGGGCACAAGATGTATGTGCATTCCATAAGAAATTAGGATTCCTTTTACTGTGCAAAGTTGGTTGGCTAATAAAGCAGGAAAGTGGGAAAATTTGTGCCATTACTGTTCAAATGTTACATGAAGTCAAACCTGAACTACCTGGCTTGTCGGATTAAATGCAATCCAGAATATTTGCTTTTATAGGATGAGGGACAAAGCACAACACAATGATGTATCATGTCTAGGAAGGAGAGAGAGAGAATAGTGTTTACATTTGAAAGGTTGTCTATTTATATCCTTCCTTCCTATCCTTCCTCCTCCCCCGCTTTAAGCTGTGTATGTATTATCTGTGTGTTTCCGTGTGCTAGCCAAAGGACAGCCTTGGGCACCGTTCACCCTGTTTTCTCTCTCACTGGCCTGATACCCACTGCTTAAGGCTCACTGATTAGGCTAGAGCAGCTGATCAGAAAACTGGGGAATTCTCCCTGTCTCTGCTTCCCCAGTGCTGGAGTTGTAAGACATACCATAATGCCTTTTATTTACTGGTTAAGTTTTATTCTCACACAATATATTTTAGTCATATTCTTTTCTGCCCCCCCAACTCCTCCTACATTCTCTCTACTTCCTTCCCATCCTACTTCATGTTCTATCTCCTCTAAGAAATAAATCCCCTCAAATCAAAACAAACAAACCCCAAACACACACACACACACACACACACACACACACACACACACACTACCAAAGTAAACCAAACCAAACCAAAATAAAGCACAACAAAGCCAAGGAAGGAGTCTGTTTTGTGCTGGCCAACTAGAGCGTGGGGCCTGCCCTGGAGTGTGGTTGATAGACTCAGTGTCGCTCCATTAGAGAAAAGCGTTTTTTTTTCTCTCCCAGCAGGTTATTGATTGCAAAAAGCTTCTTGGTTAGGGTGGCACTCTGTGTCCACTTCCCCTTTCCCCATGTTGGGATTTTTTTTTTTTTGACTTGAACTTATGCAGGTCCTGTGCATACTCCACCATGTGAGTTCATATGTGCACCAGTCCCGTTGGGTCTGTAAGATGCTTTCATGTATGTTCTAGGGAACTAAACTCCTGGGCTTTTGTTGGCACTTCACCTTCTGACCCATTTCTTCAGCAAACATTGTCCTATTCTTACTACAATGAAATGGGAATCCCTGCCCATGACCCGCCAGCCATGTGATCAGGCTTTACACCTTTACCTCACTGTCAACAGTCTCCCTGACAATGGTTCCTACTCCAAGCCGTCGCCATCTCATCAACAGGTCCGGACTGACAGTCAGTCCACTCTGCAGGCCTCTACCATGTCACCTTGCCCTCGGAGAGCCCATCTTAAACTCACTTACATCACCCCGTGTCATAGCCCTCTGCTTGAACTTTCTCACCACTAATTGCCAGGGTCAAGAAAGAAGGTGTGTGCAGAAAAAGAGCCCTAAAATTAACTTTCCCTGAAGAGACTCAATTATTATATTCTCTTAGATTGTGCTAAGGAAGGCAATAAGTAAAACTTATTGACACTTGGGGGATATTTTTTATATAAAAATTTTCAACACATATCACTTACAATGCACAACTAGGCAGTTTGGAATATTATCCTTGGGGTCAGTGACATGGTTCAGCAAGTAATGGTGTTTGCTGTCAAGCCTGAAGATCTTAGATCCCAGGAATCCACTTGACGTAAGTGGAGAACCACCAACTCTCAAAACTTGTTCTCAGACCGCCACATGCACATGGATACACACACACAGACACACACACACACAGACACACAGAGCCATGAACATTAGAGTGCCTACCATTGAGACTACCTTAGCGTCCACCTCGCTATCCTGAACATGCTCTGTTCTAAGAGAACGGTCAGCCCAAGCTGCCCAAATGCAACCTTGGCTGAGATGGAGATATGCGTCTGCAGCAGTGTTTCTGTCTAAATGAATGCCCAAAGATGCAGAGCATCTGAAACTGGCAGCAGTGGGGAGCATTAAGGGCTGTGGGGGTAACAGGAGGGGCATAGAACAAGGAAGAAGCAGGAGAAGGTACAGGGGTGCGATAGGAAAACATCTTTCGGGAACTTCATTCTGTTGTCAGAGCAAGCGAGCCTCTGAGCTATTTTTATCCTTAATGAGAAGGTGCAAGATAGGTGACGTGAGGTTGCAATGGCGATGCACTGAATGGAAGAGACGGGCTCAAGCACAGAAGTTTAAGACAATCAGCAGTCATGTGCAGCCAGAGCCGAGGCTGCTCCTGGTGGCCCTGTGAAGACAGCAGGAACTCACGGAAAGGGCAGCACTGGTGAGCAGCTGGTAGGCGACAGCACTGTCCTCATTAACAGCCTCTCATCTCCTCTGCAGGCCTCGGTCCTGCTGCCAGCGTCTCCTAGGTAACGAGTGTGTCACCAAGGACACAGAGCCTCCGCTCAGGGAACACTGGAACTGCCCTGTAACTGAGCTAGGTGGCAACCCGGCCTTGTCTCTGAGACAACCCTTCCTCCTGTAAGAAAGTGGAGGCCCAGAAAGGACCCCTAGACAATGCACCTATCTTCAGATGGAAGTTAGCCACAGCCGACAGGCAGATTCCCATCTCTTAAAACCTGTCCTTTGGCAAAGTCTTAGAGCATGACTGTTTCCTTAGCTCTGTCCTACATAAAGGTTCACTTGCCCCATTTGCTCTGCCTCAGTTCTTTCCTCAAAGCACAGTAAAGAAGAAAATGAATCCTGAAGATAACAGCCAGGAATCAGATGTCCCAGATACCCCACACGACTGGACCCTCAGATCCCATCCATTCCCTGTTCCCACACAGGTGTGAACAAAAGCCAGGACTGAAAGAGAATCGGGATTCTAAAGTTACTTTGTTGCAACTGGAAGCCCTTGAGTACCAGGCCTGGAGGAATCCCCGATCACAGGAGGTGAAGGGCTGATTTTGGCTCCCACTATCATATATCCCTTTCTTGCCTACATGGTCGGGATAGCAGGTAGTGACTACCCACCGTAAGTCCAGGATACCAATCTGGACTTACATATAAAACAGCTACCTGGTTCAGAAACAGCTTAATTAAATCCAGGTGAAGTTGCTTAATTAATTCAGGTGTCCATCTGTTGGCAATGCGCTGTGGGAGAGATAAGGGTTCTACAAAGCTGAAGTTTGTACCTCAGTGTGTACCCACCAACAGGGGATACACCGACCCTGTTGGTTGACCTGTTTAGGGTGTGTGTGTGTGTGTGTGTGTGTGTTGGGGGGATGTGAGGGAGCTTTTCTGGGTCAGAGAACTTATGGTAAGAAATGGGGACGGTTCAGGAATGCAAGCCTGGGGATCCTAAGGCACAGTGTGATATTGCAAATACAATATCTGCTGGTAACAGCTGTGACAGGCTTTCAACCAGGAAAAGGCCTGCAGTAGGGAGGTCTACACACACACACACACACACACACACACGGTGCATGAAACAGAACATTCGAGTTATTTAAAGCAATTTCATAGCCATCCACACTAAGCTCACTTCTCCTGTTCCATTGCCATCGAATTCCTGATTTCCACAAGCAGTTTCTCATATCAGACAAAGGAGTCTGATGTGTTCAAGTGTACTTCCCACTTTCTCTTCTGTGAGGTGCAGTGTGGCTGGCTTTATGTTGAAGTCTTTGATCCATTTGGACTTGAGTTTTGTGCATGGTGATAATTATGGATCTATTTGCATTCTTCTACATGTTGATATCCAGTTATGCCAGCACCATTTGTTAAATATGCTTTCTTTTTTTCCATTTTGTATTTTTTTTGCTTCTTTGTCAAAAATCAGGTGTTTGCAGGTGTGTGGATTAATATCCGGGTTTTCGATTCAGTTCCATTGGTTCTCCTGTCTGTTTTTATGCCAATACCGGTTGTTTTAAGTACTGTAGCTCTGTAGTAGAGTTTGAAGTCAGGGATTGTGATGCCTCCAGAAGTTCCTTTATTGTACAGGATTGTTTTGGCTTTCCTGGGTTTTTTGCTTTTCCATATGAAGCTGAGTATTGATATTTTGAGGTCTGTGAAGAATTTTGCTGGGATTTTGCTGGGCATTGCATTGAATCTGTAGACTGCTTTTGGTAAGATTGTCATTTTTACTAAGTTAATTCTACTTACCCAAGAGCATGGGAAATTGTTTCATTTTCTGGTGTCTTCTTCAATTTCTTTCTTCAAAGATTTAAAATTCTTGTCATACAGGTCTTCCACTTATTTGATTAGAGTTA